CTATGTAGTTGAATGATGATTTGAAAACAGCCCCTCAGCTTCTCAAAGTTTCACTGATTTGATTTATTCAGGATAAAAACTGGTTCCCCCGTAATGGATTTCCAGGCTATTTTGGTCTCAAAGACAGGCAGTAGGTAAGAAAAAAAAGTATCCAGCTCTTTTAGTGAGCATAACTGTAACTGGGACTCTGCTCCAGAATATCTGTCAGTTGCCATCATTCCTCTCCACAAATTGTTTTTTTCAGAGTTGACTTTTCCAATCTTTGGCTTAACCACATTGTCTAATCTTCCATATGCTAACTGGGAGACAGTTATTACAACAGAACATAGAATAAGGGGGTTGGAAGAGATCTTGGAGGTCTTCTAGTTCAACCCCTGCTCAACCGGCGACCTTATACCTTTCTGGACTAATGGCTGTCCAGTCTCTTCTTAAAAGCCTCCAGTGATGGAGCACCCACAACTTCTAGAACAGTGATTCTCAACCTTTCTAATGCCGTGACCCCATAATACAGTTCCCCATGTTGTGGTGACCCCCAAGTGGGTGTGGCCACCAATAAGAGGGAGTAGGACAGCTAGGGAAAAGGGAAAAAAATGGCGGACAGCATGGTTTGGTGACCCCCGTGAAATGGTCATTCAACCCCAAATGGGGTCCCGACCCACAGGTTGAGAACCACTGTTCTAGAAGGAAGCCCTTCTACTGATTAATTGTTCTCACTGTCAGGAAATTTCTCCTCAGTTCTAGATTGCTTCTCTCCTTGATGAATGTCCATCTGTTACTTCCTGCCTTCAGGGACTGTGGAGAATAGGTGGACTCCATCTTCTCTGTGACGGCCCCTCAAGTACTGGAAGAGTGCTATCAAACCTATTTGAGTCAAACACCTCTGAGGAGTACTTCATTTGAGCAAATCTGCTTTGTTCAAACAGAGTGCCAATCTATTACACCATTCTTAATTTCCATCCCATCCTCTTTGTGTGGCTTCTCCATTCTTTAACATTTAACACACCAGGAGACTGGATAATGACAACAGCAGCTTTGAGGATACTGGATTTCTTCCAAGCAGGGGTAACACACACTCTCCCCTTGACACAGCTTCAGCCTTTCTCCTTGCCTGTTGACTTTACAACTATTTATAAACAATAAGATCTAAGTCAGAAAGAGAATGTATTTCTATCTTGTTCTTTGTTCTTTCTGATAAGGAAAAGAAACTATCCAAATATAGTTATACTATATTAAAAATCCAAAGTGTTTCTAGCAGGCAATAATCATTTTGCACTAAAACAAAATAATCAAGCAGATTCTTAAAGACAAGCTTAAAAATAAAGAAGGAATTTACATCTCCAGATATAAGACTTGTCTGTCATTGCTAGGACTTAATTTATAGGTTTGCTTTGTTTTATAAAAGTAATGCTATTTTCTGCACTTTATGCTTTGCAGTTCAGCTAATAATGTTTTAAAATTAAAGATGGGAATCTGAGATACCTTCCTTCCTGGAAGTGAAGGGCACCTATTAAAAATTTACCTCCCTTTCATTCTCTGCAACATAACAAACTTTGAAATAGACATGGGTTCATTAATCAGAGAGATCAAAGGAAAGTCATCCAACTTTGATCTTGATTTATATAAACTCCTGGCTGGGTCATTGCAAACATTGATATGGCTAGAAGTGAAGAACAATGCAACAAGGGCCTTATACACAATGACTTTATGCCACTTGGGGTTGTTGCTTCCAGATCTATGTGATGTCACAAGGAGGGCTGTTTATAGGGAGGCTTTTGATTTTCTTCTGTTTCTCTCTGGAGCTGGAAATAGCAAGAAAGTCCCACCACCACCTTTGAATTGTTATGGCTCTGCAGCCTTTCTGAGCAGTTGATTTTCCCATTAGTGGAAAAGTTGTCCCTCCATGTCTCCATCATCTGAGCAAACAAAGCCCTCTGTGTGTCTCACTCCAGATACGTTGAGTCTCCTGCTGCTACAACTATTCTCTTTCTTTGCTTAGAACCAATATCCCCCCCCCCTCCATACCAACTCAGGCTGATTTAGCAACATGCAACCCTGGTCACAGCTTTGGGGAAGATCTCTGGTTGCAAAATTGCCTACATGCCATAATTACATCAAGGCAATTTGCAGAGTTTATAAATGCAGCAGAAGCAAGGGTGCTTGGCCACCAGAAGCACCAGCATCTGCCATGGTCAAAATAGGCAAGATGATGGACACAATACTATGTCTACTACATTGCCTATTTTTTTAACACCCTTGCAAACACTCCCTGACCAGAACAGTTCTGTCATAGGAACCATGACTTTGTTTGTTGTGCCAAAAGTGAAGTTGTTATGGGTGAATACGAAATCATATAATCTGATGGCAAAGCATGCTGCATTCACCTCAGTGATGACCTTGATGTCTCCATGCTTGAAGGGTATCTTGATGTATCCTGCTTCAGTACATATGGAACTTCAATCTTCTTATGAAGTTTGTCATGTCATTTATGTAGGTGGGAGTTCTGGTGGCCTGAGGTCTGAGTACATGAAATCCCTGAAACTTGATAACCCAGTTGTGTTGGTTCTGATGTCTTGAGACCATGAAATAGTTCAGGTGGGCTGGGAAGTAGAGATAGGGTGTCTCCAAGTAGATATGGTCTTGTATGTCCTTAGAAGACCCTTTAATTGCACGGCTCTTCCTGATCTGCTGTAGGATCTGAGGATAGAAGTCACTAGAATGTTAGGTTCCTTCTTAGTTTCCTCGATTCATCAATACTCATACTGATAATTGTCCCTGTTTAATCACTTTGTTTAATTATGATGTCATTATTCGAGTTGTATGACACCTCATTTGACACTACTGAGATTATTGGGCAATGGGATTTCTTTTATTGGTGATTGTGGCTCGAACTTGTTGTCAAAAGCACTCAGTATGCCACAAAGAAGAGGGAGACAAGTATTCTCCAAAGCACCTGAAGGTAGGACAAGAAGCAACGGATGGAAACTAACCAAAGAGAGAAGCAACCTAGAAATAAGGAGAAATTTCCTAAGAGTTAGAACAATTAATCAGTGGAACAACTTGCCTCCAGAAGCTGTGAATGCTCCATTCACTGGAAGTTTTTAAGAAGAGACTGGACAGCCATTTGTCTGAAATGGTATAGGGTTTCCTGCCTGAGCAGGGGGTTGGACTAGATGACCTCCAAGGTCCCTTCCAACTTCTTCTTCTTCTTCTTCTTCTTCTTCTTCTTCTTCTTCTTCTTCTTCTTCTTCTTCTTCTTCTTCTTCTTCTTCTTCTTCTTCATCACACACTCATCACACAGCCAGATGTTCACACTGGATATGGCATTTTTGTCTATGTATCGAGTCCTTACCAAGGGCCTGGGATAGGCAGATGTGGATGTTGGTTGGTGTTACAGATATCGTCACAGGATGGAAACAGTTCCTAGTAAAGCCGCCTTTTGCAATTGACTAATGGCAAATTTGTCAATGCCAATGGTGTTCAAGTGGTGCTCCAGTTGTTTTGGGATTGCACCCAAGGTGCCTATTACTATTGGTACTACCCTTGCTTGCCTTTGCCACAGTCTTTCTATTTCTATCTGTAGGTCCTTGTATTTTGTTATCTTCTCCAGTTCTTTCTCGTCTGTTCTGCTGTCTTTAGGCACTGCCACATCCACTATCCAAACTACTACTGCTACTACTATTATCATCATCATCATCATCATCATTATTCTGTAAATCCAATTCAAGGTTACATCCATCGAGGACATCCATTCAGTATTTTTAATTATGACAGAATATATCGGGTTGTCCATGGCTGCATGTCTTTGTCTTACTTCTTTTCTTCAAAATGTTCCTTCATTCTCAAGGGATAAAAAAAAAATGTTTCCAAGTTACTAGAAAGTTTAATATTTTATGTTTCTTTAGTGGAGCAAAATGATAAGCCCCACTTAGAACGGACTCTTTGGCTTGACTGATTGTGGGTTCATAATCTGAGAAATCCACCCTTGATAATGATGATGAGTGCATGCTTTCAGAAGCTTAGACAGTTTGTTTTCTTCCTCAAGGAGATGGGTTTTATACTGTACTGTAAATTTGCTGCTTGTTTTAGCAAAGCTGGGTTTTGCTTGCAGTTGCAGAATAGGATTAACTTTTCCTGATTAAAGGATGGTGATTAGATATTTTAGGAGTTTCTTGATGACATAATCCTTGGCTGTAGCCTGTGCAGCTTGCAGATATTTCAGTTTAATATTTATATGACTGTAATATAAATATTATATGGTATATGAATTATATACCCAAACTTTGGAAATTATCATAGCGTGAAGTCTTACGGATTGATCGATCATTTGCAAAGGAATGTCTATGTCCCATAATCACTAAATCTATAGTTTACAATAAATCATGGATTACAAGGGAAAGTCCAGTCCATCCCAGAGTTATAATTTTAGACTAATGGTGGGTCTTCATTTCCTGCTTTTGAACAGGCTTTTCTCTGGGGGAAAAAAACCCTGAACAATCTTATTCTGTAAAGTCAAAGTTTAATACTGTATTTAAAGATTGTGAGTTTTTACATTTTTTTCTTTTTCCTTTCTCCCTTTCTCTGATTTTGTTTTCCTTATTTGCACCTTTTAATACTAAATGAGCAAAGGAGTTAACATTAGGTGTTTAACTACTAAATGATTTTTTTCCCTAAGAAAGGCATTTTTAAAAAAAAAAGTGGTAATTTTTATAAAATTAATACTTACGATAACTGGTCTGATTGTCTTTTTCTGCATGGGTGGAAATGGAGGGAAGAGACTTAAATCTCTACTTAAAAGATCTGGATGACACATTTCAGAATATACGCAATGGGGTGGTGGTGGTGGTGGTAAATGGCTCCACCATCTTAACATGTCAACCCTGGAGACTGGAGTGTGTGATTATATTATTCTGAATAGAAAACACTGACACATCTATTACTTTTCATATTTTTTCATCTGCAAGTAACTCTTCTAATACTTTCTGTACTTTTTTTAAAGGATCACCTCTTTCATCTAGAAGCTCACCGGTTAGAGAAAGGAAGGGGCAGATGTCCATATGCACCAAGTTCCTCCTTCATGTCCACTTTATATGGTAATAATTAAGAACTCCTTTGCTATTCGCACAAACTCTTTAAGGCTTGTTGCCATTATTCCATCTATTCTTGTGTACTTATGTCGGGCTTTGTTGAATTGAGTCATAGAGTCTCAGGATTGGTCTGCCATCCGTCTTGCCTGTTGCATCACACTGGGGAAACGTCGGGTGTTCTTCAGGCATTGTTAAACTGACGGACTGTGTTATTGCCATCCGTTATTGTTATTTATCACATAATCTATTCTGAATGTGGGAGAAATCCCAGTTGTGCCAGCTCCTACTGCCCCAGTTTCAACAATTCCCTTTTGGAAATTCAATCCAAGGCCTACAGAAATGGAGGCTACAGATCTAAGCATGTTTCTCCATAACAGGAAAGTTCCCAACATTCATCCCTGCACTTTATGAGAACTCATGCAGCACTCATTCACAGATGCGTTTAGCAGACTCACGGTGTAGTTTGGAAATGTTGGTATGATATCCACCCTATATCATACTGTATAAATATGGGCCAGTGCAACAGGCATCCTTGGAACCATGTTAGCTAAGATGAGATTTGTTCCAAGTGATCAGTACAGACAGTGAGCAGCCACTCATTGTTCACTTGTGTACTTGAATCTAAACCAAGCTCAGAAAAAAATATGACCCAGCGAAGAGGGGCATGCAGCCATGGTTGGGACTGGATGACCTTAAGCCAACATGGAATCCCCATCTCTAGGGGAGACACCAACCGCGGAGCATAAGAGAATAGGCTTCAGCTCTACTTGCACATGCTTTTCCATTCAGAGTTCACGATGGCTGCTCTTTTATTGCTTGTCTAATTCCAGTGCAAACAATTTAGAGCTTTATCAATATTGTTTTCTCACAGAGATAAACAAGGAGGAAAATGTGTCCTCCCGGATGGTCCTACAAATGTGTTCCCTTCTTTCATTCTAGTTTAGTGTAGGAAAAAGTAAGCACAGAAAGTCAACTCAGAGAAGAATAGGGAACAGTTTTATTTAATTTCACTTATTCAAGCCATCCATCCACACATTTGGATTCATTTTGGACCTCCAGAGCACACAGAAGCTTGGATGCAGAGACTCTCTGCAGCGCTTTCAAGCTTTTCCTGGGGTTTCACAACATTTTCCAAGTTCTAGTTGTTTTAAAGAGCTCCAGACAGGTTCATGTCCTTCAAAATTTCGTTTTGGAATTGAGTCCAACATATTTAATGGCATGACAATCAGTAGCCTGATGGCACACTTTGGCAATTTAAAATACATTGCATGTAGTTATTTTTTTTTTTTTAAAAAAACCCTCATGATTCAGAGTAACTTTTACTGAAATGTCTGTATTACAGCAGGGAAAAAAAATACAGTATAATCTTTTGTGGTTTTGTGTGCATTAAATTAAAATACTGGGCAAACTCCAAACAAAATTTCTAAAATGAAATTATTTTAATGGATGAAATTTAAGCACAAGTAACAGAGAAGGCTTAACTTGTGTTCCTTCCCTACCACTTCTGTTTTGTTTTGTTTCTCGTTTAACGTTTTCTTGTGAATTAGCTTCAGTTTTGGGAGAGATTATTTGATACTAAGGTAAAACAGTAAGAAACAATTCTACTCTTGAATGAATAAATTCTGAATGACAATCAGAAAGCGGAATAAGCTTTCAACCATGGCTAATGCTATATAAAAATGTTAAATGATTGGGCATATTCCATAAATAATTTTATGACTCAAACGCTCTCCAGCCTGCTTTCAATAAAACAACTTCCTAGTTTGTAATAGAGCTGACTGGTGAATTAACAAAGACCACACAAGTTCTTGAAAGAAAGGCTGTTTTCTTTAGGCGTGTGGCTTTTTGACAAATGGTGAACTTCTGATCTGCCTCTTTTCTGCTCCAGAACTTTTTAGCTGCTGTAGCTGAGGAGTAGATGGATCCCTTGTACCATTAGTGGTAGGGCATGCTTTTCTCAGTTGAGACCCATTATTTCCGATTATTCTGTGCTGCCTCATCTGTATGTGTTGTATGTGTGTGGGGAAGGAGGGAGGGAGGGAGGAGCAAAGCATGCCTGGAGAATACATTCCTAGCAGATCACTAAAGGCTTGAAGGACACCCCAATGCCCAGCTAAACCAAGCAGGCACCTAGATGAAGCAGCACCCATATAGGTAGATGCTGAAGTGGAAGGCCACTCTAGGAACAACGGCAAAGGGACCATTTCATTCTGAGAGGAGGGAGATGGCAATTCTGTATTTTCCCATGGAGAGACAGTATAAATTGATAGATCATCTAGTGCCAGGCAGTGTTGCCCATCAGTCAGATGCCAGTGACTGAGAAAGAACCAAGGATCTTCTAGGGCCCTGAGTTCACTATGATGCAGCTACATTCTTCAAGTCAACCAGGTTCTTCTGTCGAAAGGCTGGAAGTATGTAGCAAAGATATATGGAAATTGGGAAGAGATTTTTTTTTCAAACACTGTTAAATAAATCTAATCAGGCTATTACACTGCATCAAGGTCATCATCGAAAGAAGATCTAGTCCTGTGTGGATTAATATTTCAGTGTTCTAGAAAATGCTTGATCAGACAATTCTAGCTGAACACGAACATCCTCACTGAAAGTAGATTTATTGCCAAGTAAATACAACATTATTAATTATAGACCTCTGAAAATTCCTACTACTGAAAAAATGCTGACTCTGTGCCTTGCAAGAAGAAAATTGCCAGTAGAAATGAGTTTGAAATATAGTTGCATCTTTTCTAAAGAGCTGATCTGCACGTTAAATTTCTCAATCAATCATTTAAAACCATAGGTGTACAATTATGCAAATTTGCTTGAAATGGGCTATTAGGTTTTCGTGAGTGTTTGTATGTAGGTCTTTGGTTATTCGGGTTTTCTCCCATGTAAAATTGGAAGTGTCTTGGCGACGTTTCGATGAAGTCTCATTCGTCATCTTCAGGCTGGTGTTTTCGGCTTTGTGCTTCTAGGAGCTATGTTCCTAGAAGCACGAAGCCGAAAACACCAGCCTGAAGATGAGGACTTTGTCAAAACGTCGCCAAGACACTTCCAATTTTACGCGGGAGAAAACCCGAACAACCAAAGACCTAGACCTACAAATATATATATATATATATATATATCTATATATATATATATATATATATATATATATATATATATATATATATATATATATATATATGTTAAATAGCTGATTTGTGGAAATAGCTGCAATTATTGAAAAGTTTCCAGAGATGTTTGGTTTGTTATCTTTTGAGTTTCCCCACTCCAGAAAGAAAACATAGCATCTTTTAGAAAAGACAGAATAAAGATGGTTGCTTGTTATGCCCTTTGAAGAAGTCGTTCAAGTGCGTAAAAGGGGGGAGGGGTACGGAGAGCTGACACAGCCAGGAAAGATCAGGAAAGTCAAAGCAGGCTAAAGAAGCATCCAAACTATAAGAACAGTAAAATCACAGGCATGCAATAATTTTTATTTTACAAAGATGTTCCTCATCCCCAACCAAAGACAAGTCTGGGCAGCAATGCTCTAAGGTAAGAATCTAGAACAGAGATAAAATGCTCTTTCAGAGACTGAAATTATGACAAGCAGTTTCTGAATCTGCTGTGGAAGTCTCGGAAAGACACAGCTGTTTCATTAGGTGTAGAGAGAAGCTTCAGACTCCTATGGAAGCCAACAGTTTTTCTCTTATATAGGCCTATTTTCAACTATCATGAAAAGCTAGTCTGGGGGAGTCCAATGATTGGAGTCCTGCCAGCTAAACAATCTGGGTCATAAGGCTACACAAACACACACACACAAACACGACTTCTGTATTTCTGTAGATGTCAAAGTTGTATCTTCTAAAGCCGAGAACTAGAGAACATGATCACATAATTATTTTGCAGACTCTGCCATGAAGTACCACATCAGTATGAGCTGCTAAAATGTATTTGTCTGCTAACATTTGACTTAGCTTCAGGGCCTCATGAGTTTGAAATCAGTATTTATTCAGTATTAAGCAAAACCTAAGAAATAATAACACATCTCTTGTTGGAAACAGATTTCAGAGCCTACCTGGTAGAGAGTTTACATTATTGAAGTCATTACTTAAAATCACAGCATAATTGTTTTCAAATTAATGTAAACCAAAATTAAATCCACAAGTAAAAATTGTAAATCCTTGAGAAAACACACTAATAATCAAAATAATAGTAGTATTCATTTTAATGGTGAAATGTAAATTAGAAAATGCATTTGTTTTCTTTCAAGTTTAAAAAAGGAAGAAAATAAATAAATTATTGTGAGAGAGGACCGTTCTTTTTTGTATGTATAATATGGTTTTCCACTATTTTGTGGCTTGGCTGCCATCTCGTGGTAAATATATGCAAGTTGTTTTGATTCCACTGATACCAGTATCTATATTTTAAGAAATGAATCAGTGATATATAAAGCTAATTACCCTTAGCTTATGTTAGGGAAAATATAGAGTCTAAATATTAGATTACTGAATCTTTGCCATATCTCTAGTCAGTTGTAGAATATTAGCCTGTATAATACCCCACTGTTGTTGTTGTTGTTGTTAATTGCGAAGTCGTGTCCGACCCATCACGACCCCATGGACAACGTTCTCCAGGCCTTCCTGTCCTCTACCATTTCTGGAGTCCATTTAAGCTCACGCCTACTGCTTCAGTGACTCCATCCAGCCACCTCATTCTCTTGTCGTCCCCTTCTTCTACTGCCCTCAATCTTTCCCAGCATTAGGCCCTTCTCCAGTGAGTCCTTCCTTCTCATTAGGTGGCCAAAGTATTTGAGTTTCCCACTATTATATATTAAATATTTGTTTTAAACTCACAGCACACAATATTTATATCAAAATCAAACAGACTTTTCCACATCTGTAAAGTTTAGAATTACAAGATTACTGTTCTGGGTTAAGAGAACCTGAAAAATATTAGTACATGCTGACTCCTTTGTGATAGCCTGGATTTCAACATGCAACAATTCTTGTTGTCTGAAGATTCTGGGGCATTCTGGTATAAACTGAAATGCTACACCCCAGAAGTCCTTTGGGGCATGTGTGTCTTTGTGGTAAAGAGGAGATTCCAGTCCCAGGGATCTGCAGAGTGGTTGCTCTGACGAAGGAGCGAGTCTGGAGTTGGAGAATAAGATCGAGGGGAATGTGCAGATGCCAGAGGACCACAGAGAGATGTGTTGTGTGACTCTTGTCAGGCCTATAGGACTCCCCAACCCGCCTTCTACCCTGCCTGGCCTGGACTCAACTCATTGCCCAGAGCAGAGCTGAGTTTTGGCATATTTTTGGCATATTTTGGCCAGTGTGATCTAATGAGCTCACAATCACAGTTTGTGAGTCAGGATTTTTAAACCTGAGCTAACCCTGCAAGCCGCAGAATGCACACCCTCGGACCACTTCCACTGAGGACATCACTTCTGTCCTGTGGCCGAGAAAACTGTGGTCATACTGTCATTAGGAATTGAGTTGGACTTGCTGGAGACTTTACTATCTATCTTTGCCTCTTTGGTCTTCAGGAAACGAACTATTTACTGGACTCTACAGTGACTACTGGGGGAGAGACGCCGCCATCTTCCGCATGATGGGCCGCATGGCTCACATCCGGACTGAGCCTGATGATGATCGGCTGCTGAAAGGTAGAAATGGCTCTAACAATAAGGGTAATGAGAACAAAAACAGCAGTCGCCACTACGAAGCATCAAAAATGCTCTTTCAGAATAATATGCTGGCCTCAGCTTACATGGAACGTCTACCGTGGGTCTTATCCCACAAAGCACGGTGGTCCATCTTTACGTTATCATCATGGAGATGGACCATGATACAAGTTAATTTAGAGAGGTTCATAATCTCGTATGGGACAATGCAAATAGAAGTTATGCTTTGCAACATTTCGATTAGCCGAGAAGTTATGCCCTTGGTCGGTGGTGGCAAACTTATGGCACGTGTGCCAGAGGCGGCACTCAGAGCCCTCTCTGTGGGCACATGTGCCGTCGCCCCAGCCCCGCCTCCCCCTGCAGTCCCTTCCTCACCAGCAGCCCCCCAGAGGAGAGTTGCCCTAAAGTGCAGCCCATGCAGAGCAGCGCAGCCAAGGACATGGTAGCCAGGCAGCGGGGACAAGACTCCGCCCTTGCGCCCTATCATGCGCAGTTGATGCTGTGGGGTGCGGGCAGAGGGCATGGCCGCCATGGCATTGCTGGGCCGCCTGGGCGATCTGTGGTGGGCCATGGAGGCGGTGAGTGGCCCTGCGGGTGGGTGGGGTGATGGGCGGGGTGGGGTGGGAGTGGAGCAGGCAGGACGAGGGCAGAGCAGGGCCAGGTGGGGAAGCAGGGCGGGGCTAGATTTTGGGCACTCAGTCTCTAAAGGGTTCGCCATCACTGCCATAGTCCGCAGAACCAAACATTCTTCCCTACAATGTTAGCTAGTTCTGCAGCAGAGGAATACATGAGGACACCGCAAGAATAAAAGAGCTTTGAATGGGAAACACTGTCTTAGACTCCAGAATAATTGTTGCATATCCAGAAGGAGCTGTTCTGATGTTTTTGAAACCTTATTATCTTGAATGCAAGTTTGCTGACACAGGAATTAAGCAGTTCCATCAATCCCCGTATCTCACTGTCTCTTTAAGAACCTAAATTTGTTAGTTCCCATGTGATTCCTGACAACGAAGACCGGGAGGACAACAAGGTGTATTTCTTCTTCACCGAGAAAGCTTTAGAGGCAGAAACGGGCGCTCAAGCTCTCTATGCCAGAGTGGGCCGGGTCTGTGTGGTAAGGAACACTTTTATTGCCATCTACTGGCGATTCGCTGCTTTTCTTCCTTCTTTTTCTTCTGTGTATTTAATTCAGCTTTTCCCAACTTGACACCCGTCAGATATGTTGGGCTTCTTCGTTCTAGAACAGATGAGCCTCAGTCCCAGAAGGTTTGCTGGCATGAGCCGGGAGAAGGCAGTTTTAGGAAAGCTGGAATAAAATAAGAACACACATTCTCACAAGCCAAGCTTGAATTGTGAGTCCAGTCCCAATCTCCATATCAGCCACCCCTATACCCACCCACCTTGATGTGACTCTGGCAGAGCTCGGTTAGGCTTGCAGAGAGAGAGGTATCCAAAAAAAAACCCCACAGAAGGGCAACATAAAAAGGATTCCGGTGAAAGAGAATGGAAAGAGAAAGAAGTCCCTTTTGTGTAGAACTGAATGTATAAAGTTCGGGTCTGCTCCTTATTTTAATTCCAAAGCACACATGAGCACCGTTTTGCATTGTGATGGGCTGAACAGAAGAGCCGATCCCACCAGCTTCCCATCCCCTCCCTGCCTCCTACCTCTGCTCAGCTGAGTCTCTGATGCTCAGGAGTGGCACATGGGGCCTCTGCACAAGAGATTAGAGGCTCCCCTTTCTAGCTTTCAAGAGTTTATAGCATCACAAGCACACACCCTCTTTGAGGAACTCCGTTTCTTGGACCTAAAAGTACCGCTATGAGTCAGTCAAAATCATTTTCCTACAGGGCCACCACAACTTGGCTATGACCAGATAGGAAATCCTCTGAAGACCTAACCCAGGGGTAGTCAACCTTGGCTCTTTTATGACTTGTGGACTTCAACTCCCAGAATTCCTGAGCCAGCTGTGCTGGCTCAGGAATTCTGGGAGTTGAAGTCCACGAGTCATAAAAGAGCCAAGGTTGACTACCCCTGACCTAACCTATGCAGTCATACCAGACACTGACTGAAGTTTTTTTCAACTTTCGTGTATGTATGCAGCTTGGGTTAGTTTGTGGTCTGGTGCTTTGCGCTAAGACGGAAGATGAATGGACTGAGTCATGTTGTGTGAATGCAACTTAGCAGCGTCTAACCTGGTTCTGAGAAAGAACTTTCTTGTTTGTGTCTTCTTCTCAGAATGACATGGGAGGACAAAGGATGCTGGTGAATAAGTGGACCACTTTCCTCAAGGCCAGACTGGCATGTTCTGTACCAGGGATGAATGGCATTGACACGCATTTTGACGAATTGGGTGAGTTTTGTTGTTGTTAGTTGCAAAGTCGTGTCCGACCCATCGCAACCCCATGGACAACGTTCCTCCAGGCCTTCCTGTCCTCTACCATCTTCTGGACTCCATTTAAGCTCATGCCTACTGCTTCAGGGACTCCATCCAGCCATCTCATTCTCTGTCGTCCCCTTCTTCTATTGCCCTCAATCTTTCCCAGCATTAGGCTCTTCTCCAGTGAGTCCTTCCTTCTCATTAGGTGGCCAAAGTACTTGAGTTTCAACTTCAGGATCTGGCCTTCTAAAGAGCAGTCAGGGTTGATCTCCTCTAGGACTGACCGGTTGGATCGCCTTGCAGTCCAGGGGACTGGGTGAGTTACGTGGCTGCAAAGAGTTTGAAGGCAGAACCCTCATAAGGGCTCAAAGTGAAAAATAGTTGCATAGCTCTATTTAAATATTTCATAACAGGAAGGTCATGATTGTTCAGTCAAGGCAATAAATCATGGTTTCATGCAGCAGCCATAGTGGCAAGGTTCACATGTTGGGATATAATGTGACCTGTTTGGTTTTGGCTTAGCATTATGTGTGAATGGGACAAGTGTGGCTTTTCCAACAAATACTGGTTGAAATAAACCCCAGTTTAGAATAATGTGTGAACCAGTTTCAATTTGCATGTTTTTCTTCCACTTCTTCTTCCAGTTTAGTAGCACAGAAGAGACAGGAAGCTTTCACTGCTGTTTTTAATTAGCCACAGTTATAATAAATCTTTCCATTCTCCTTACAGTTCCAAACAGAACAGGAGACCGTGATATAGCATGACACACAAATTGGCCCTCTGGGTCAGTAATAACCCTACAGAATTAAGCATGCAAAATTATTTTCTTTGCTAGGTAGTATAAACAAGTCATTTGTCTATTTATTTATGTATATTATTAAAATAATCTAATTTGAGTGCAAGATAAACTGCATCTTGTTTCCATTTTTGCAGAGGACATATTTTTGCTCCAGACTCGGGATAACAAAAACCCGGTGATATTTGGACTCTTCAACACTACAAGGTATACAGATATGATGTGGGAAGATCATAGAGTCCCTGAGGGACAGGCCACAAGCCCCCTTTGCCCTATTAGCAAATCAATAGGACAGTTAGATAATAACGTTATAAGAATGATCTGATGCAATAAACATTATAAGAATGATCTGATGCAATTTAGTCCTGGACAATAAAATGGTCGTCATTGGGTTAATTGCTTAGAATCCGTAGGCAAAGAATCCCGACTCCTGAATGGGGCTCTGGAGGATCACGGAGTCCAGATGGAATTTTCTCTCCAGATGGATCCCAGATCCCAGCCAGCCCTAGTCTGGATCTTACCTTTCATACCCAAACGAAGTGATCATACCATTTGACTTAGGCTAAATGCATTTGATAGGATGTCCTTCAAAGCAGTTTGCCCATTTTGCCCTGCTTCTCTTTTTTTTCCCTTTCTTCTTTAAGAATAAAACAGCAGTGCAAATTAATACCCATTTTGGAACACTAAAGAAACAGGCCTTGACATGTTCTTTTGAAACACTAAACAATTTTCATAGCTACTCAACATTGTTGGCTGTCAATTAAATGCCGACTGCTTGAGCAAGCAATCAAGGCTGCACCACTCACCGACACAGGAAATTTTATTTATTTATTTATTTTTATTTTTAAAATTTATAAGCCGCCCCACTCCCGAAGGACTCTGGGCGGCTAACAATAAAAAACACATAAAACATAACAAACAACAATACAAAAACAATCATCCAGGGGTCAGGTTTTATAAACCCCAGGCCTGCCGGAAAAGCCAGGTCTTAAGTAGCTTACGGAAGACCAACAGGGTGGGAGCGGTCCTAATCTCCGGGGGGAGCTGATTCCAAAGCGTGGGCGGCATCACAGAGAAGGCCCTCCTCCGCGGCCCCGCCAAATGGCACTGCCTGGCCGACGGGGCCCGAAGGAGGCCCAGCCTGTGGGATCTAACCGGACGAAGGGAACTATGAGGAAATCTGGAAATAGGGCCACCGTTGTCCTTTGTCACCACTTCTCTGACACTGAAGCCTCCCCTCTTCCCCCCCCACATACACACCCATCTCCCCGGCTTCCCTGTCTTCAAGTAAGGGAACACATTGGGAAGGAAGAGGCACCCAGCAGCTTTTGCTTCTGAGAAGACCTGAGCCCTAAGCAAGGTGTTCACAAGGGGAGGTCAAAAACAGGTGTGACAGAGTTGCAACACAAGTTGTCCTACCTGGGTATTGCAAGAGCAGATCCTTAAATGGAAATTGTCAGTGGCATAAAGAGACTCAAGAATGGTGAGAGGGAGCAAGGGTTGAAGCCACTGTTCTGCAGAATGGTCCGTGATGACAAGCTTTCTTTGAAGAACTTTCACATTGTGGACTTCTACCATTTTTGATTTGTAGCAATATATTCCACGGGTATGCGGTCTGTGTCTATCACATGGCGAGTATCCGGGCGGCTTTCAATGGACCCTATGCTCACAGAGAAGGACCTGAATACCATTGGTCTGTGTACGAAGGCAAAGTGCCTTACCCAAGGCCTGGATCGGTGAGTTTAAAGGGGATAAGCCGATTCCCCTTTGAGTGGGACTATGGTTTTCTGTTTTAAAAAGGCAGGAATGGAAGCCTCCACCCCGTATTTCTGTGTATGTGCTTTGCTCACGACTCTGAGGTGGCTGAGATTTGTAAACATGATTTTAAAAAACTTGATCCTGATCAGCGCAGCCTTCACTGACCTCGCAAACCAAGGTTTATTACAGCAGGAACCAGCCACAATGGCCAGTTGTACAATCATAAGTTTGGCTCATTTTTTTTTATTTTAAAAGATGTGTGAAACTACATTACATCTTATTCAACAAAACACAGTTTTAAATTTAAATTTTTAAATTTTTATTTGCCAGCTCATTTTCGCAGTTTAGTAGTAGTAGTAATAATAATAATAATAATAATAATAATTAATAATAATAATAATAAAGTTGGAAGGGACCTTGGAGGTCATCTAGTCCAATCCCCTGCTCAGGCAGGAAACCCTATACCATTTTGGACAAATGGCTGTCCAGTCTCTTCTTAAAAATTTCCAATGTTGGAGCATTCACCGCTTCTGGAGGTAGGTTGTTCCATTGGTTAATTTTTCTAACTGTCAGGAAATTTCTCCTTATTTCTAGGTTGCTTCACTCCTTGATTAATTTCCATCTGTTGCTTCTTGTCCTGCCCTCAGGCGCTTTGGAGAATAGCTTGACTCTCTTCTTTGTGGCAGCCCCTGAGATATTGGAAGACTGCTATTTATTTATTTATTTATTTATGAGACTTACATACTGCTTTAAGTGCAAGCACTCTCTAAGCGGTGTACACCAGTAAGCAATGTATATATATATTTACATTGCCCCCAACAATCTGGGTCCTCATTTTACCTACCCCGGAAGGATGGAAGGCTGAGTCAACCTTGAGCCGGTGAGATTTGAACCGCTAACCTGCTGAACACGGTCAGCTAAATTGGCCTGCAGTACTGCTATCATGTCCCCCCTCGTCCTTCTCTTCATTAAACTAGACATACCCAATTCCAGCAACCGTTCCTTATATGCTTTAGCCTCCAGTCCTCTAATCATCTTTGTTGCTCTTCTCTGTACTCTTTCTAGAGTCTCAACACCTTTTTTACATCGCAGTGACCAAAACTGGATGCAGTATTCCAAGTGTGGCCTTATGAAGGCATTGTAAAGTGGTATTAACGCTTCATGTGAGCAATGGGAAAGAGAAAGAGATGAAGAAATGGAGAGAAAGAGAATTGGACACACTTATACACACACACACATACAAACACGCATCTCCAGCTCAGTATTACATTCTCAAATCTTGCTGGAGACAGTCTTTTTCAGCAGAATTTGGCACTCAGCTGTCACTAACTGAGTCGATCTGCAGAAAACCAGTCCTTTGAACTTCTGCTGAAAACCACAACTTCTGCCTTTTATGACAAGCAGCTGATGAAAATTCTGCTGCAGGCTGATGAGAAAATTAATTTTTCAAACCATCATAGAGCAAATAGTTCAGAAGACCTAAGTCCCAAGAAAAGGAAAATAAACACTGCCCCGTTTGATGAGCGTTGGAGTTTATGATTGTCAGTTATAGTCTTGCCACACGTTAAAAATGAATGTTTCCAGTAAACATGAAGAGTATTTGATTTCACTTTATTGATTGAAAATCCAGTCTAAATGGGGAGAGTCTGCTACTGTGGCTGGGCTTTTAAATGTTTCTGAAAAACCCCACTGTTTTCAATCTGTGGAAGAAGTAAATGTCTACTCAGCTGTTTCTAGCAGAATGTTAAATGGTTCCAATTAAAGAGCATGAAGCAACTTTTGAACTAAAGGATCCAGAGTTAAAACCCATTATTCTGTCCGGTTGCTGAAGGAGTTAAAAGCTTCCTGTTCAAAAGCTGGTATCAGGCTGGCATACAGACAGAGTGAGCCTCCCCCCACTGAATTATTTTTGAGTCGCTACATAAAAGACTCCAGTATAAACTGATTTGCTTTAGTCAGTCTGCTTGCTTGCTTGTTTATTATTTACTCATTAAATTTATACCCCCAGACTTCCAGTGGTCTGCAGCAATTAAGAGTATCAAAGCAAGACAAGTGCACGCCAATTAAAGTATCAATTTCATAAAAATGTAAAACTTCAAAAGAACCTCATTCATCCTGAGGGTCTTGTCACTCCCAGTGGCCCCCTAAAACAACTTGGCTCTCCATGGTCCCTCCGAAAGTGGGTCAGTCTGATTTCTAAGAGGATGCCATCCCATAATATAAGGGCTGCCAGTGGGTGCAGAAAGGAAAGTATCCTTGCTTCTGTTGTCCCGCTCGTGTACAGAAATGCATGCGTTCAGGGCCATATGTAGGAAACCATGCCATGTCTTTATGCTGTATCCCCAGTGGCATACAGTGATTATTACAGATGATACTTGTCTCTTTTCCCAACTTTGACAAGCTTGACAATCTGACTGGCTACATCTTAAAGTGGAAGGATGGTGCTGACAGAGCAATTAACTTTAAGATTGTGCCTGTGGAGGGCTGCCGTACAGGAGCTGCAATCCAATTCGGCAAAAATTAAAAAAACGTGATTCACAGTTGGCACGTGCCTCCCTTTAATGCCTTGATGTGATAGATACATAAAATTGCTTAGTCGCAGGCACAAATGCACACATAACAGAGAGCACCATCAATGTCGTCATGTTCTCTCCTTTGTGTTTCACAGTGTGCCAGCAAAGTGAACGGGGGTCTGCACGGGAGCACCAAGGACTATCCGGATGAGGCCATCCGCTTTGCTCGAACTCACCCGCTGATGTATCAAACTGTCCAGCCAGTGCACAAAAGGCCAATTCTTGTGAAGACAGATGGAAAGTACAGACTCAAACAAATAGCTGTAGACAGAGTAGACGCAGAAGATGGCCAATACGATGTCTTGTTTATCGGAACAGGTAAGAGAAAAAGAGGGAAAGTGGATGGTTTAAATTTCCCTCTCCATGGGTGTCAGGCTAGTTCCATTTGCAATCTGCCAGCCCTAAACCATCCATGCTGCTTCATGCCTAATGTTGACTTCTCGTTTATTTCTAGCCAGTAATTTCCTCCTGTTTTCATCCTTCATAATTGCCCTATCTCATAAGAGTAGTGAATGCATCTTGACTTGATGCATGGTGAACAGTGAGGTCAACATTCTTTCAGTCCTTTGAGAATAGAGTAGAGTATTCTATTCTATGCTATGCTATGCTATGCTATTCTATTCTATTCCATCCCATCCCATCCCATCCCATCCCGCATTCTATTCTATTCTATTCTATTCTATGCTATGCTATTCTATTCTATGCTATTCTATTCTATTCTATTCCATTCTATTCTATTCTATTCTATCCCATCCCATCCCATCCTGCATTCTATTCTATTCTATTCCATTCCATTCCATTAAGTTGTTAAATTTCAGACATTTGAAATTATCTAGATGTGGTTCCTTGTTCTGATTATTTAAATTTATATATACTTATTTTTAATAACTTGCAGATTTAAATTTTGGCATGTTAGTTTCAAACATTTTCATCTTAAATGATTGACATGTTTTTTTTTAAACCAATTCCTAATTATCTGATAGACATCTTTTCATATTCACCTACAGATAATGGAATTGTCTTGAAAGTTATCACAATTTACAACCAAGATACAGAATCTATGGAGGAAGTGATTCTTGAAGAGCTGCAAGTGTTCAAAGTAAGTGAGCCTACTACACACCAGGCTTTTAACCCAGATTGAACCCTTCTACACTGCCCTCACCACTATTCAGAAACTACAGCCTGCCCAGAATGCAGTAGCATGGGCAGTGAAGAGGGTGTCACATTGTTTGCACGTGGCCCCATTGCTTTGTGAGCTGGACCATTTTTAACCTGGCTTCCAGGTGAAAATCCGGGTGCTGGTTATTACCTTTTAAGCTTTCCAGGGCCTGACTCGCTGAAGGAACAGTGGTTACTGCCAGCCCAATATGGTCCAGCCTGCCAGTGCATCCCAGATCCCATCAATTATGTCCTGACATCTTGCATGACCCAGCAAGGGGGCCGCCTCTATGCAAAGTCCTGGCTCTCCCTATTGACGTTCTCCCCAAAGGCTTGTGCATCTCCCCTGGCTCTCCTCCCAGCCCTTGAGGTGCCCCATTTGGCTGTGGGTGTTCAGTAGATGGTGTTCTGCTCTCCTGGTCAGTTGTGTGCTTTATTCTGTGTATTTCTAATTTGTAAACTGCCAGAGTCTTGGAGTCGGGCAGCCTCAAGAATTAATAACACCCAGAAACTGCAACTGGTACAAATGTAGCATCCTTTTAGCCAGCACTTGTCATCAGGAACATATTACACCTGGGTGCAGCAGTCCTCTGTCCAAAATGTGGACTTTGCTGACTTCAAAAGAGTGGCCTTTATCTTTTAAATGCCAATGGACTGCTGAATCTTGTCCTGATGGGTTTGTTCTCCTAGGTTGTGCTAGGCGTTTATGAAGTGGTTGCTTTCTCTCCCCAATGTACAGATCTGCACAAGGCTCACTGCATTGTACTGCATATACCACGTTGCTTAGTTTGTGTTTGGGTGTTTTATCCTTGGGGTGGACAAGCTTCTGCCTTAATGTATTCAGCAGCCCATCTGCATTTAAAAGACAAAGTCCAATCTTTTGAAGACAGAAAAGCCCACATTTTGGATAGAGAAGACCACTGGTTTGAAAGGGGTCAAAGAGGCCATCTATGTCAAAATTGAATAGCCCTCTCTCAACAGAGGGGCAGGGATACAACAGTCTACAACACAGTCCTTTCAGCAGTTTCAAGAAAGCTCCACACCCATTGACAAACTCAGGTGACCTTGAGGATACAGATAAAGCTCCAAGTGGCCTCAACAACTCTTTAAAAGAATGCAAATGACCACCTGTCTGCAAGGAATATAAATCCTTCCATTCCCAAGTCAAAGCTAAAGAAGCTTCTTAGATAAGAAGTGAAACATCTTCAAAGAAAAACAAGAAAGTCCAGTTGCCTCGTAAAAAAGCACCTTTGAGACAACCATGACCCGGAAGACTGAGAATCTCCATAGACAATATGTTGAATATGGATAAAGCTGCTTCCTGCTCACTACAGTAAGCTTTGGGTGATCTGAAGAGTGGCTGAAAGACAGAAGGAATCTACCTTTGCTAAATAATCTTGGCACAAAATGTATAATTCTTGGATTTATTTATTTATTTATTTATGAGACTGATATACCGCTTTAAGTGCAAGCACTCTCTAAGCGGTGTACACCAGTAAGCAATGTATGTATATATTTACATTGCCCCCAACAATCTGGGTCCTCATTTTACCTACCTTGGAAGGATGGAAAGCTGAGTCAACCTTGAGCCAGTGAGATTTAAACCGCTGACCTGCTGAACACAGTCAGCTAAAGTGGCCTGCAGTACTGCACCCTAACTGCTGCGCCACCTCGGCTCTTGATTGACCGATCACCAACATATAGCTATCATAACTGCATGGATAGCTTCTTTCCTAATTAAGAAAAATGTTTTCACTTTCAGGTGCCAACTCCTATTATTTTTATGGAAATTTCTTCCAAAAGAGTAAGTGTTATTCTTTTTTAAGAAAATTATTTCACTCTTCTTAGCAGTATGAATATGTCCAGTATGTAGACATTCAAAGATAAAATCTTTGTTCTAAACTGTTATTTTTTTCCAGTGGCCCATCAGGCTTCATAGAGAGTATTTAAGGCGCCCATTTCAAAACCCCTTCTCTTGTGAGATGTAAAGTTCTCCTATGCGAGGATAGCTTTACACACTAAAGGACTCATGTGGTGCTTTAATTTTTCAGGTCAGCCCTTGGCTTTAAGAAAATGAAGCAACCAGGAAAACATCCCACAGGTGCAGATTCCCAATATAGGTAGAGATATCCCAAAAGATACCTGATGCATCTATCCAGGGCATAGTATGTTCTAGAACAGTGGTGGCGAACCTATGGCACGGGTGCCAGAGGCAGCACTCGGAGCCCTCTCTGTGGGCACACATGCCGTCACCCCAGTCCCGCCTCCTCCCATGGCCCCCTCCTCACCAGCAGCCCTCCCAGAGGAGAGTCACCCCAGGCACAGCCCACACAAAGTAGTGCAGCCAAGGACATGGTAGCCGGGCAACGGGGACAAGACTCTGCCCTTGCGCCCCGTCACACGCAGATGATGCTGCGGGACACGGGTGGAGGGCGTGGCCACGGCACTGCTGGGCCGCTTGGGTGATCTGTGGCGGGCCGTGTAGGTGGTGGGTGGCCCAGCGGGCAGGGTGGAATGGGGACGGGGGGCAGGTTTTGGGCACTCGGTCTCTAAAAGGTTTGCCATCACTGTCCTAGAATTTTATTTTCTATCTTGATTCATCAAACAGACATTCAACCAGCCCATAATCTTTCCACAAAGATTGTGAGTTCTAGTCCCATCTTAGGCCCCAAGCCAACTGGGTGACCTTGGGCCAGTCACACTCTCTCAGCCCTAGAAAATAGGCAAGAGTTAACCACTTGTGGAAAATCTTTCCAAGAAAACATTAGGAATTTATCCAGACAATTGCAAAGAGTCAAGACTAGCTTAAAGGCACCAAAAACAATACTTTAGAAATACCTACTTAGTAGTAATAGTATTTTTATGTATAACTGGTTTATATATATATATCAGTTAAATTCAGTCAAATAATATTCAGTTCAATACATTTATGTGAAATTGAGGGCTGCTTCCATGTTATCCTTTGAAAGGTCAGATTTGTTATCTTTGTTCATTTTCCTTCTGCTTCAAGAGACTTCTGCTACTATAGTACAACAAAATATGCCATATAAAATGAATTTTCATGGGGTGGTCTAGAATGTTAAATATTAATGTATAGCTCTACCTCCCAGATAAGTGTTCAGATATATACTTGCCTCTCTCACTGTGTTTGTTTCCATGTGTGTGTACACCTACAGTAGATGTGTGTGCATATACAAGCTGTGTCGAATTTCCTTCAACTCTTACATAACCAATCCCTTTTTCCTGATTTATAAAATGTGAAATGAGATCTTGCTGCAGTTGTTGATAAATAAAGCACCGGTCTCCTAAGAAACCAAACACTTTAAGGCATCTTAAAGCCGTTTAATATCAAACTCAGTTTGATTTTTATTTTCCTGAGCAGTGAAGACATAGCTGGACAGTTTGATTTCCCCTGACAGTATACTGTTTGCCTCACAAAGGAAGAATGCTAGCTCAACCTTGTTTAGCAAATTTTGTCCAGAATTTGACAGTAATTTATCTTTTTGCCACGTCACATCAAATCAAAAAGTGCCCGCGGTCCACCACGTACCGTAAATGAGGTTTTAATTCATTATAACCTGCAATAAGGTTACAGCTTCATTATAGAAGCATGATGGTTGGTGAAAAGAGGGAGCCAGGCCAAGGGAAGCTGGCTTAGATCTCCCTTCGGCCGAATGCTCGTTCACCCTCTTCTACAAAAGGGACACTGAAGGAAGCTGGCTGTTCATGTTAGAGCAGTGGTTCTCAATCTTTTTAATGCCGTGACCCCCAACCGGTCGTAAGTCGAGGACTACTCAACCGGTCGTAAGTCGAGGACTACTCAATTGGTGCAGCACCGTTTGCAGAATGGGACTTTTGGCGGGCTCAGCAGGGCAGAGACAGCCTGGACAATTCCTATTGGCTTTTGAAAGCCAATAGAATTAGACTCTATTCAAGAGAGTCTATTCTATTGGCTTTCAAAAGCCAATAGAATAAAAGGGAATAGCACAGCTAAGGAAAAGGGGGAAAAAATGGCGGACGGCGTTGTTTGGCAACCCCCATGAAATGGTCGTTGAGAACCGCTGTGTTAGAGGCTGTTGCAAGGATAAAACATAAGAAGTGAAACACCCTTCCTTTTTCTCTGCTTCAAAGCTAAGTGATGGCTCAAATATAATATTGCTTATTAAAATTAATACAGTTTTAGGTAAAAGTCAATCAAACAGAAATCATCAATCCCATGCGATTATAATAATCTATATCCTGTTTTTAAGCTTTACTAATTACAGTTGTCATATTCCAATTACGTTTTAGTAATTATATTATATTTAGGAAACAGAGAGGAAATTTTCGATCATTAATTTGAGCTATACTTATAAGATTTTGTCTTTGAACGACTTGACACCCTGACCACCACGTTGTGTCCTAAGCTGGGAAAAAATGGAAAAAACCAATAAAACTTTTTATATATATAAAAAAAGCTAAGCGATGGCTTGAGGGTGGCAATGCTGCTCCCAAACCAATTGATTTCTGTAGTATTTCTTGATCGTGCTCCATCAGCCATAACAATGTAGGAAGTGGCTTTTTTTTTCATTGCATGTTCATAATATACTTTCTCCTGGCATATTCTTTTGAAGCCATGGATCATCAGTATGAAGGGGACTCGCCAAAGATTGTGCTAAAGATCGTTGTGCTTTCCTTACAGCAACAAATTTACGTTGGGTCTGAGTCTGCCATCGCACAGGTGAAGTTCCACCAGTGTGACATGTATGGGTCAGCCTGCACTGATTGCTGCCTGGCGAGGGATCCCTACTGTGCCTGGGATGGGCTCTCCTGTTCCAGATATTATCCAACAGGAACACAGACAAAAAGGTAAGAATCCTATAAAGCCAAAAGATTTTGGTCAAGAATACATATATGGTTAGAGAAAACGACTAAAAACCACATAGATTTCAAGCCAGAATTATTTTTGTTAGGTATAATTGTAGGAAATCATGAGAACAAATGTGTATACTTAAGGTTACATGTGTTAACGGCAGCGAGAATTGTATTTGCTCAACGTTGGAAAGATGAAAAACTACCAGTGGAGGAAGAGATAATTAAGAAAATTTTAGACTGTGCAGAAATGGACAGATTGACACTGAAAACGAAAGAGAAAGAAGATTCAGGATAACAGGGGTAGGCAACCTTGACTCTTTTATGACTGGTGGACTTCAACTCCCAGAATTCCTGAGCCAGCATGGCTACCCCTGCTTTAGAACATGAAATAAGTTTTATCAATAGCTAGAAAAACGAGGTAGAGAGAAGGGAGTTAGTAAGCTAAATATTAAAACCCAGACAATATGTTGCTGATAAAATATTAAGGATTTGTAATTATAAAAAATTAATAAAATATTGGGGGGGGGAGAATGGTAAGAATCTTACTTTGCCTATGAAATGGCATGCGATTTGCAAAAATTCTGCATTTGAACTGATTCCAAACACACATTTTAAGCACGGAACAGCTACTTTGTGTTCTGAAGTCGTTAGTGCTCAAAACACATTCAGTTTCAAAATTGAAGCCTTTTGACCAGGGATGACCACACAGCAGGTAAAAAACAAAACAAAAATCAAAGCGGCAGCTGCGTAACTGAAGTCCTGCCCCTTTTTATCAATATAATGAAGATGGAAAGGAGCAGGGCCACAGCTGCCGTCACAACGGTTTCGGCATTCCCTGCAGATTCTGCTCACTTTGAACTCAAGAAACCTTTGAGGTTTTTGATCAGACAATCCATTTCATACTCAGAACTGCTCTTTAGAAATGGGACTCCAAATTTGAAAATTGTTTTCCAATGGCATGCTTTGCTGAGGGCATCCGTTCAGGGCTGTAGAGGGCATCCATACGGTTCCTTTTAGAAGTCTTTTTCAGCTCACTGGACGTGACCGTAAGTCCTCTGTTGGAGGCTGGATGGTTGTTTCCGAGGGATGTCTTGGATTGACCAATTGGGATTAACTGGACAATCCTCTGGTAACACCCTTTCTGATCAAAGGCTGTGGTCATGAAACAGAGGTGTCCTGGTTAACTGAATTAACCGATTTTCCAAATTCACAACACATGGGAGCCTATATTAACCAAGTTTGTACAAAGGGATAAACCACATGCTGCAAACATTTTTCAGAAATGTACTTTTTTATTATTATAAAGGAACACCCAGACTGCGGACTTAGCCATTATTTTTATTATTAGTGTTATTATTTTAAAGGATTCAAACAGTACTAAAGAGAAAAGTGCAGAAACAGGTCAGGCAATTTTTTTTACTTGAGTTGAAACGTTTCGGGAGCAAATGATAAACCACATTTGAAGGTGAGAGGGGAAAAGAGTCATGCTGGCAACGTGCATTGATTCACTTGAAGTTGATTTTGGCAGTGGAGCATGGGTTACATTGGACAGGAGAAGAAAGCAAAGCGAAGGCAGTTTCTCTTTCAGAGGCTGCAGGCATCTCTGCACTACAGCGAGAAAATCTGGTCCCATCTGCCAATGTGCAGTTTTTCCACCCATTTCTGCCAGAAAAAGAGAGTCAGGTCTCTCTTTAGCAGACTGGCATTTAATGCTTGCATTGCTGTAAGACTGATGTGACAAATACTAGACCAGGGGTAAGCAACCTTGGCTCTTTTATGACTCGTGGACTTCCACTCCCAGAATTCCTGAGCCAGCCATGCTGAGGGGAAAAAGAGAGGTTTCCAAGCTGAGCCATGCTGGCTCATGAATTCTGGGAGTTGAAGTTTACGAGTCAGAAAGCAGTCTAGGCCTAGGCCAGGGTTAGGCAACCTTGGCTCTTTTATGACTTGTGGACAACTCCCAGAATTCCTGAGCCAGCCATGCTGAGGGGAAAGGGAGAGGTTTCCAAGTTGAGCCATGCTGGCTCAGGAATTCTGGGAGTTGAAGTTTACGAGTCAGAAAGCGGTCTAGGCCTAGGTCAGGGGTAGGCAACCTTGGCTCTTTTATGACTTGTGGACTTCAACTCCCAGAATTCCTGAGCCAGCCATGCTGAGGGGAAAGGGAGAGGTTTCCAAGCTGAGCCATGCTGACTCAGGAATTCTGGGAGTTTATTTATTTATTTATTTATTTATGAGTCTTATATACTGCTTTAAGTGCAAGCACTCTCTAAGCGGTATACACCAGTAAGCAATGTATATATATATATATATTTTCATTGCCCCCAACAATCTGGGTCCTCATTTTACCTACCCCGGAAGGATGGAAGGCTGAGTCAACCTTGAGCCGGTGAGATTTGAACCGCTGACCTGCTGAACACAGTCAGCTAAAGTGGCCTGCAGTACTGCACCCTAACTGCTGCGCCACCTCGGCTCATAAGTTGAAGTCCACGAGTCATAAAAGAGCCAAGGTTGCCTACCCCTGTACTAGACGATGGTAAGATTATGGCCTCAGCGTGGTGTATAATTCACTGAGTTGTGCCCAGATAACTCTGATACATCCCCATATTATCTCTTGGAGTGAAGCTTCCTTGGTCACTTCTAAGGGGACACAGCCTGTTTCCATCCCGCTGACTTTGAAAACATCCGTTTCCTGATAGAGGCTTCTGCCTTTTGCAGTCACAACCATGAGTTTTCAGCTGCTTGCGAATTGTTTTTCATTTTGCTCAGACGCTTCCGTAGACAAGATATCCGTCATGGAAATGCAGCTCAGCAGTGCTTCGGCCAGCCATTGCTAGGTAATTATTACTATTTTTTTTTCTGCAGGAAAGATCGTGCAGCTGGGAGTTTGCAACAGGCTGAGGGCTGCCCTAAGCGGGTGAATGCAGTCCTAGGTCGGATCAGCAGAGGGAGGGTATCAAGATCATGTGAAGTCTTTTGGGTGGATCAGAGGAGGCAGGCGGATTTTATAATAATAATAATAAAGTTGGAAGGGACCTTGGAGGTCATCAAGTCCAACCCCCTGCTCAGGCAGGAAACCTTACACCATTTCAGACAAAAGTCTGTCCAGTCTCTTCTTAAAAACTTTTAGTGTTGGAGCATTCACCCTTCTGGAGGCAGGTTGTTCCATTGGTTACTTGTTCTCACTGTCAGGAAGTTTCTCCTTAGTTCTAGGTTGCTTCTCTCCTTGACTAGTTTCCATCTGTTGCTTCTTGTCCTGCCTTCAGGAGCTTTGGAGAATAGCTTGACTCCCTCTTCTCTGGGGCAGCCCCTGAGATATTGGAACACTGCTATCTTGTCCCCCCTCGTCCTTCTCTTCATTAAACTAGACATATCCAATTCCAGCAACCTTTCCTTATATGCTTTAGCCTCCAGTCCCTTAATCATCTTTGTTGCTCTTCTCTGTACTCTTTCTAGAGTCCCAGCATCTTTTTTACATCGTGGTGACCAAAACTGGATGCCGTATTCCAAGTGTAGCCTTACCAAGGCATTGTAAAGTGGTATTAATACTTGACGTGATCTTGAGTATATCCCTCTGTTAATGCAGCCCAGCACTGTGTTGGCTTTTTTGGCAGGTGCAGCACCCTGCTGGTGGCAGCTGCAGCACCCTGCTGGAACCACTTACTGTAATTGGGGTACATTTCCTACTTTGTGTTCGAATCTCAGGCAGGGGAAACCAAGGCCTCATCTTACATTATTGCATGGAGAAGCCGTACACATCGTAACTTGGCTCCAGTTCAGATGTTATGTGTGCAGGGTCGGGTGAGAGGGCAGGGCTTTGTCTGTTGATAGGATTTTCTGTTAATTCTGCGATCGGAGGTAAGCGTGGCAAAGCAGATGTGCGGATGTGCTCACTGTTTACATAAGAAAACCAGCGGAATATTTTCTATATTGGTGACCGCTCCAAAAGTAGGCCGTAGGGGGAAGGTCCTCCATGTTGAATGCTCGGTTGCTATCCGATAAAAGAGACTTTCTACTTTTGCACATTAAAAGCAAACATCAGTTTCTCTTTAGAAGTCGGTAGGGCAAGTGATGCGTGTCTGATGCGTGTCTCCCGCCGTCTGCAGGAGATGCCTTGGGCAAGACAGAGGAGCGGCTGGCGTACGGCATAGAGCACAACAGCACTCTCCTGGAGTGTATCCCCAGGACCTTGCAAGCCAAAGTGATCTGGTTTGTGCAGAGAGCTCACGAAGCCCGGAAAGAAGAGGTACTTGGGATTACCGTTGCCCTGGCCCTGCTCTTGATTTCATGGGGTTTTTCTAAGGCTGTGCAGATCACCTGGTGTCAAAGGGCAACGTGTGATTTGGAGGTACAGGGGTAGAGGTGCAGAGGGCGCCTGTCTTCCTGAGGGTTCTAGCTGGGAGATCCAGCGGCTTCAGGTGTTCCCAACAGGTGCTGCTCCTGTGCTCCCCAGTCTCATTTTGCCCTTTGAAACGGAACCTAACTCCTTCTATGCCTCCCCCCCCCCCGTCACTACGTTCAGTGTTTTGTCAGGTTCAGCTCAGAAAGAGTCATGGCTGGAAGACACACCCACACACAGAGACCATCAAGCACTGCTTCTATTTCATGAAATATTGTTATCGAAGAAGCATTGCGTACGTTCCCTTAGTCCCGCGGAGTTTGTGATGACGCCTTTCACACTTCCACTAATATTCTTCCCCAAATAGTTTTAGCATTGTTCAGCATAGCTAATTGAACATAAACAGCAACATACGTATGACAGATTCTGAATGGAACAAAGTTCATTCAAGTCCTCAGCCATTCTGGAGAATTGGTGCTGCTGAGTCCCAGATCTGCTGTGATTACTTTAAACAAGGAAGTTAAATTCTTTTTCTTTTTTTCCATGTTAAGGGCAACTTCGAGACCAGGGGTGTCAAACTCGCAATGTCACGTGTCGCGACGTATCGCAACTTTTTTTTCCATTGCCGGCAGTGGGGTGGGTGCAGGTTCGCCATGATGCATCCGGTCCACAGGCCGGCAGTCGCTATTCTAGACCAAAAGGGTATTCAGAAAAGAACTATAAATAAATCAGTAAAACTAGTCATGCCTTCAGAAACTTAACTTTGGGGTACATTGTGCTTCAAGTTATTTGAATTTAACACTCCTGCATCTTATTCAAAATTTTCTAAATTTTACTGATACGTTTATTAGACTCTTCCCCTAAACCCAGTTCAGTTACACATGTGTGCAATTGTATTAGAAATGTAAATATATTTCTCACTTTAGTCATTTATTGCTAGTCAATCTTAGTTTCATCAGTCTGATTTTTTTTGTAACCTTCCAATGGATGAAACAGTTTCCTCTTTGACTTGCACACAGGTAAAGGCTGATGAGAGGATTCTTAAAATGGACATTGGCCTGTTGTTTTTAAGACTGCACCGAATGGATGCTGGAACGTATTTTTGCCAGACAGTGGAACACAGCATCGTTCACACAGTGAAAAAAATCACCCTGGAAGTCGTGGAAGAGGAACGCGTAGACTACATGTTCAACAGGGACTACGAAGAGGATCTAGCTCAGAAAATGCCCTGCCCTGCACAGAGCGGCATCTCCCATGGATCAAGGCCGTGGTACAAGGAGTTCCTGCAACTGATAGGCTACAGCAATTTTCAAAGAGTGGAGGAATATTGTGAAAAAGTGTGGTGCACAGATAAGAAGAGGAAAAAGCTGAAAATGACTCCATCTAAGTGGAAGTACGCCAATCCACAAGAAAAAAAGGCACGTATCAAATCAGAGCATTACCGAGTTCCCAGGCACACCCAAGCTGGCTCCTGATGGGGGAGAACCCAATATATCATGCAGCCCCCTCCCACCACCCAAAATAAATCCATTCAGGAGACCTTTGTGGTGTTTGGACCCAACAAAAGGGGACGTTGAGACTGGAAATAAGCTAAAATGCTTTTAGTAAGTTATATACTTGATGTCTATTTAGATGCATTTTTTAAAAAAAAGAAACCTACTTAATTGTTGAATTTTAACTGTATCATTATGAATCCAGCTTCAATTGAAAGACAATCTGACAATCTTCATATTCAGCATTTAGTCCAATTAATCATGGACAGGCTTGCACTGTATATTTTACTGTATTTGGGGGTATTTAAGTGAGTTCAGAATGCTGATGTTTTGAAAAGCAAAGCAACCAGTAAATTGTATCGTTTGTTTGTTTGTTTTATTTCAAACATAGCTAAAATTGATTTTCACATAGCCTATCCCATAGCCTCTTTCTAAATTCTAGGAAATTTTCCAGTTTTCACTTAGGAAAAAAAGCATGTTTCTAATTCTTGCTTGGTTTGCATATATGAAGGCATAGGAGAATTGGGGAGTGGAGAAAAAGGTGATCATAAATTAAGGTGACCAACTTTTTTGCAATGAAAAGGAGGACACAAATAAATTGAAGAAAAAAATATCGTAAATAAAAGAAACATTTTATTCATTGCAACAATAATACAGACAACTTGCATGTGCAAAGTTTGCCAGCTGGGTGTTTTGGCGCGCTCAGCAGCAATTCTTAATTGGCTTTCGAAAGCCAATAGTGGGAGTAGCACAGCTTATGCAAAATTTGGAAAAAAAAAAACATTAAAAAGGTACCCAAACGCTGTTCTGAGCGTTCTATGAGAAAGAAAAAAAAGCCCTGCAAATTAGTCTTCAAATATCAAAAAACAGGACATGCAGGAGGACACTTTTCGAGGGAGGACAGAACTCACAAAAGGAGGACTGTCCTCCCTAAAGGAGGACGGTTGGTCACCTTACATAAATAAAAGCTGAAAAAGCAAAATTATTTGAGCGATGCAGCGGAGCATATCTGCAGAAGCAACAAAAGAAGGTGTCTTTGTTGCAATTAACACATTAACAGGCGCAAAACATTACTGTATAATTTTCCTGAACTGAGCCCAACTATTTCAGTTATGGCTTCCGGGGCCCTGTACCAAGACAGGGTAACAGGTGATCCCAGGTTCATCCTGTGAAGATCTTTTAACAACTCTTGGTGCAATGACACAGGCCTACAAAACAGAATTTTAGAATTAGCCATACGTGTGAATATGCTAGGTATATTAAAGAGAAAGTCTTGCCAGTTTTATCATTTCTGAGTGTTGTCCCTTCTGGGTCTGTTCTTACCATAAAGTCCTTCTCATAAATGTAGAAAATTTGTAATAAGCAGAATGCCCATTAGAATGGTTAACATTGGTAAAAGGTTGGAAAATATCAGTAATTTGATATTATTTCCATTTCCTTCTGAACTACAGCCAAGGTAGTTTTTTTTTTTCATTTTAAAAGGTTGATATCTACAGTGGGAAACTGCCCTCTATTAACCTAACTTCTTCCCCCCCCCCCCACAGCAAAAAGGCACATAGCACCCCCGCCCTCTGTGTAGGCACCAGGCTGTACAAAACACTGAACTGGAGACTAGATGTGGATGAGTGGACTTTCCAAACTCCATTAGTAAGTCACATCAAATCTGGTGTCACAACAGATGTCTCCTAACCAACTTGGTGATTTAGAAATACTTTTTTTTTCTCCAATTAATTTGAGTCGTTGGATTGGGGTATCAATGTTTTAAACCGAACTGACTGTTTTAATGAAGCAATATCCCTCATATGCATTTTAAATATCCATATAAACTAAAAATAGACAGGGCTGCACTAATGATGTACATCTCCACCCTGGGCTGGGCTGGGCTGGTGATTTTGCTCCGTGCCTGCAGGTTGTAAGGAAGGGCCTGGATGGGGGAGAGACCGGAGGCAACTCAGCCCTGGCAGAGACAGAAGGGCCTTGTTCTCAGTCACGTCCTGACTGTATTCCTACAGCATGTTCCATGTGGGGCCACCCTTGAAAACCACCCAGAAGCTGCACCTGGTCCAGAATGCAATGGGGGCGGTTCTGAGTGCTCCATATTTCAACCATGTTACACCACTGTGGCAAAGGTTGCTTTGTGGTTGCAATTCAAGATGCAGATTATCTGTGCTCTCCTTAAGGGACTGTGGCCATCCCACTAGATTAGATAGGGTGGGTGCACTCCAGGTCCTCTCCCCCAAATGGTGTCACCTAATGGGACCCCAGAAGTTTGCCTTCTCTGTAGCCCCCCCTTTTTCCTTTGGAATAAACTCCCACCTGAGGTTTAGGGGGTCCCAGAAGACAGTGAAACTTCTCCCCCCCTCAACATTGGGCTAGGAGAGGGCTGAATCAGGGTTAACAAGTGGAGGGTTTGGGCCTCTTGATGAGAAGGGAGCAATGGGTTATTTATGCTGTTATTTTTCTTGGTTGCTGTGATCACCGTGTGAGATAGGATGCCATGAAAGTTCTTTAAAAGAATAAAACAACAATAAAGCTACGGAACGGATTGTATTCATATTTGTCTGTATCAAACAGCATTTTTCATTTCAAAATAGAAGACCTGCTACAGATAACTCGGTGCCTTTACAACAGAGTGCCCCAAACTAACATATTTTATAGAATAAGAGCAATCTGTGGAACTGATCGTTTTTAGTACATCAGTTGGTTTACATTCACATTTAATCCCTACTTCTTTTTTGACTAATTGCTAAACTGATAGAGGAGAATATTAGTAGCTCAGGTTTGAAATGAAGAGTGCTTGGTTCTCTCTTGAGTTTGGTGGTTTTCTTGCAGATATTTCATTACCCAACTAGGGAACATCATCAGTGCCAATAGGAAGTGGGGTTTGCGCTCCATTCTAATGGCTTGCCGTGTCAGTGTTGGTGAGACTGGCCAATGTTCTTATGCGGTGACCTTGTGCATCAGCATTTCATTAAGGTTATTGGAGAAACGCTGATTTCTCAATGTGAATGGGACCAGTCCCCATTTATTCAGTGGAAATGAAATTGTTCATGAGTAACCTAAGAGCAGGGAATCAAAAGGAAAGCAGATTGACAGTTAATGTGGCTTTCCTACTGAAAGTAATAGAAATAGTTTATGCTTCAGTTATCCAGATGCATATTGTGGAAGCTTTTCTTCCAGGTCAAGGGTAGGCAACCTTGGCTCTTTTATGACTCGTGGACTTCAACTCCCAGAATTTCTAGTGTCATGATAAAATGAATTGCACAAAATGGCAAACATGTATGTTCTTTACATCTCTCGTTACCTGGGAATTCTGGAATATTATCATCAGAATCTTTTTATGTGTAAATAATTTCAAATTACTTTAAATATACCAATGCACCACCTAGCTGATGGAATCATCACAATACACATTTAAAATACATTATTTTAAGAAAGCACTTGCACTTATAAACTTGGTTTCAGACTAGTACCTATTGAAACAGGTATTTTAATAAAAGGGCAATGCAGAACCAGAACAGAATGGCATTACAAAGAAAGCCAAGAGACTTGCACTGTTTTTTTTCTTGGAAAATGTTGCCAACATTTGTGTTTTAACAATCAGGCACTATTGCTAGCATTTCACTTTATACTTTGTAACTGAGTTCTGTAATACCAAACATTCCTGAACTAAAATAATCTGGTTTATTTAAACCTTCAGTCATATATACATATATATACCCAAGGTCATCAAAAGCAGGTGTTTGATGGAGATGTGGACCGTTCCCATAACACAGAGAAAGGATGTGATTGAGCAATATGAACACATGGTAGGTGACGATTATGAAAAGCTATTGTTAACTAACCAGATTTTCGTGTGGGAAAACTAGAGTTGATTTTGATTCTTCACTGCCGGTATGTGTATTCAATAAAAATTATCTCTTACAGCACCTCAAGACCGTGGAGTTTCTTCAATATTGAATTAGCCAGCCGGACAGTTGACGTAATGCTTCTGATGGGCTCCTCAAGGCCCGGGCAGGATTCGGGTACTTTTATGATAAATAAATTAGATGCAAATCAATCTGTGTCTATATGTGATTATGAAAAGAGTCTGAAACATTTTTGACACCAGAGTGCTGAACCATTTGTGGGTTTTAAAGCCAATATCTTGTCTGGGATCTTCTCTAGCCTGCCAAACCCTTTGCTCCTTTCCCAGCTCAACTTTTGAGCTGAGGCCTGCCCTTTTCCTTTAACTAGTATGTGGTCAACTGCCAAGGCTAGCAAGAGAAACAAGGCCTAAAAAGGAGCCATCTTTGAAATGGTGGATGAACTCAGGCTGAGAGGGAATAGTCCAGGACCCCAGCAGCAAAGAAGAAAAGGCCTCATCAGGGGCGCGCGAAAGCTGAGGCCGAGAGAAAGAGACTCAAGGTTGATTTGGTTAAAAAATGAGGCAAAGGAGCTTAAAACAGAGTTAAAGGAGGAAGGGGATAAATCAGCCCCTTGGATTCGGAAGGGCTTGGCAGGAACATCGAAACAAAAGAATCAGCCGAGGAAAGGCTTGACTCCTCTGGGCTCAGGGCCTGCCCAGACCGCTTGCTGAGGGGCCGATGCTCTGTGGAAAAACCAGCTTGATGTGGCAAAAGCTCAGAAAAATTCAATTGGATCTGGACAAGATGCAGGATCAGGGTAAAATAAATGTGGAGAATTAGAGGAACCAGGGAAAAAGCAGAAACAGCTATTTTAATGAATGTCTTATCTAAGGCTGAACAATTGTCAGAATTAAAGCTTTCAGATTAAGGGTGTCCATAGGTTCTTCTCTCATAAGGATAATCAAATGCAAAAAATCCAAGAAATACACTAATAAGATTTGTCAGCAGGCAGGTGAAAGAAGCTGCTGGACTAAAAGAAAAATTGGGGTGAAGATAAAGTCCACGATAGTAATAGAGCCAGTTTACTCTAGTGCAGTGGTTCTCAACCTTTTTAATGCCGCGACCCCCAACCGGTCGTAAGTCGAGAACTACTCAACCGGTCGTAAGTCGAGGACTACTCAACTGGTGCAGCACTATTTGCAGAATGGGACTTTTGGCGGGCTCAGCAGGACAGAGACAGCCTGGACAATTCCTATTGGCTTTTGAAAGCCAATAGAATTAGACTCTATTAGACTCTATTTCAAAAGCCAATAGAATAAAAGGGAGTAGCACAGCTAAGGAAAAGGGGGAAAAAATGGCGGACTGCGTTGTTTGGTGACCCCCGTGAAATGGTTGTTTGACCCCAAATGGGGTCCCGACCCATAGGTTGAGAACCACTGCTCTAGTGGTTAAGGCACCTGGCTGGAAACCAGGAGGCACTGAGTTCAAGTGGTGAGATAAGAAAGCCACTGGGTGACTTTGTTCCAGTCACTCTTTCTTAGCCCTACCCACCTCACAAGGCTGTTGTTATGGGGAAAACAAGAGGAAGGAGGATTAGATATGTTCACATCCTTGAATTATGAAGGAAATAAACCTCCGTTTGGTTATCAATGACAGACACTCGCAGATACAAAACTTTTATTATACATATTAGAAAAGTACATTACATTACTTTTTGACATAATCGCCATTTTAATTGAGGCACTTGTCATAATGTCTTACAAGGTTTGAATTCCTTAGTAGTTGCTCGGCACCAAATCTGGGCGATGGGGGGGGGGATCAAAAACATCAGAACGGAAGTGCTTCAAAAGTTCTTGGTGCGTCTATCGGTGTGCGGGCGAGCATTATCGTGAACCAACACCACACCGGAAGTGGTGCTATAGAAAATCCTGCCAAATGTGAAGATGCCAAAGGAGTACTGCTAGTGAAGTTTATGGAGTGTAGTTCAACTATAAGTTCAGAAGTCTACTGTGAAATGTTATGAAAACTCAGATGAACCATTGGTGTTGAAAATCAGCTAAACTGAAGAGGAAGAGATGGAAATGAAAGCTGTCATGATAAGTCTCACATAAGTGTGTGGCTTAATAGGGCTTCAGTACCAAGGGGCAGTCTACCATGGAAGACATAGTCCTCTTGGATAAAAAGGAAATGACTGATACTTTGGCTTTCTGAAAAGAGCAGCATCCCTCAATACTGGAACTTGTCTAAAAGAGAATCTTGTGATTTGATATTCAGCGTCATTAAGCTACAAAATATTTTGTTTGAACAGAATCTGTTCTATAATTATTTTTCTGGTCTGGACTGCTTATGGGGAATATATCTAAATCTAAAAACCCAGGGAGAGAATTATTCTCTCCCTCCCCCCCCCCTTCTCTCTCTATCTCTATCTCTATCTCACTTATCTCTATCTCTTTCTTTCTCTCTCTGTCCTTAACAATACTTTGGAATTCAGAAAAAAAGTTTCTGCATCTAAGCAGAAATAACAAACCCTACACAGAGAGATATTGATACCAAAAGAAACCCAACATCTAATCACAAAGGGAACCGAACTGGAAGCTGACCAGGAGTTGTATAAGGGAGTCTTGCTCAGTCAGCTAGCTCAGTGGAGCTTCCATAAGAAGAGGCAGTCTACAAGCAAAGAGCCATGCCTCTTGAGCCAAAAGATGAGAAATAGGCAGCTTTGGTGCTTTGTTAGTAGGTTGCTAGAGATTTCGGCTGGCATTGGTGTGTGTAGAAAAGGTGGGGAAGGTGAGCTTTGATTGGATCCCAAGGGTGGCCTGTCATCTCCTGGGGATTCTATTCAGTTGATGATGTCATCCATCCAGCTCAACTGCCACTTTCTTTGGGCGATCTGAGTGAAGATGGCTTTCAAGAGGTAAGGAGGTCTCCAGAACGGCTGCTGGGCTCTTCCCCATTGTATAGCCAACTTCTCAGAGGATTGTGAGATTCCAGGGATGGGAACAGTCCTTTGTTGTCCTCTTAAGAAAGGGGGACTGGGGCAAATTTGTTCCAGAGCTCTTTTACCTTTAATTCCTTATTGGCACGAAGAGACTGGGTTGGTTACTCCCCAACTAATCAGGATCACAGGACGTACTTAAGCTCCAAAATAAGGAAAATTGTAAAATTTCAAAACTCATGTGGTTGTGGAACACATTCAGTCCTGTAAAACCAAACCAAAGTTAAAAGTGATGAGCTCAACCCAGAAGCGTTGTTTTTCAACTCTGCTTTCTTAAATCCAACGGATTCTGGAAAATAGGCTTCAGTTGTTTCCTTCCATTCCTTTTTCTCTCTTCTAGGGCCTTCTTCAAGTTATTTTCCTGCTTCCGGAGGAAAACAAGGAAGGTGAGCCTTACAGAAGCCGATGCCCCCAGTTCTCCGACCTGCCGACTGGAGGACAGCACCAAGACTCCTGAGCGAAGAAAAGTCGCTTTCGTCGTGGATGTGGAGCTCCAGAAAGTGGAGCAATGTGGTGAGTAGATGCTCAGGGACGGGCTGGGACCTTGAGAAGGAGAGGAAGCAGCTCTTTAGGAGGGGATTCCTCCATGTAGAGATAGACAGGTGGTCCTTGACTTACATCAGTCCATGGAATGACCGTTTCAAGGTACAATAGCACTGAGAAAAATGACATGATCTTTTTTCACACTTACAACCACTGCAGAATCCCCACAGTCACATGATCGAATTCGGACCCTGACTCCTAATTATGACGATAGTAGTATCCCAGGGACTTGTGATCACCGTTTGCAAACTTCTGACAACAAAAATCAATCGGGAAGCAATGATCCAATTAACAACAGTGGCAAGGAAGGTAATAAGATGGGACAAAAGTCAGTTAACAACTGTCTAATAAGGAGAATTGGGTCACAAGGGGAAGAACGCTGCAAAGATGATCCTGGTTTTGGAGGTTTTTCTTCATCTGGGGGAGACCTAAAACTTTGCCGAACACCTGCCTCTCCATTCCCAGATCTCCCCAGAAAGGACACGAGAGAAAAGAAGAAGAAGATTTTCTTCAAGACAAAGGACATCAGAAAAGAAGAAAATACACCACGCCAGGCTTCTTGCTGCAGAAGAGACCGATGGAGGAGCCAGAAGATATGGGAAGAGGTCCATGAGAGGATGCAGAAGACAGACCAACCAGTAGGTACCCCGGGGAATCAGAGGGTCCCGTAGCTCAGCCTTTCTCCCAGGGGGGAATCCCAGTCTCAATGGGGTTCAAAATTTTCCTCGGCATGGAGAGAGACTCAGAAGGGTTTCAACCTTCCCTTCTGAAAGGGAGAACATGGGGGACCCTGGGGGCAAGTTGCCCAACAGCCTCCCCAATTTCACAGCCTGACTCTTTTCTCTTGCAACAGGAGCGCAGTATCCTTGAAGGCCTCTCTTCCATCGCCACTCTGTTTCGGCTGAAGCGGAGGGGGCAAATGGCCGTCCCCGAGCCAAGGAACAAGAACCTCTACGGCCTGGCTGTCTTGGTAAGTCAGAGGGAGGCAGGGGGACATTGGAGGCAAGCAAAGCAGGACGGAGAGACAGGAGCAGTAAATGGAGGGGACAAAAACTACCCCTGGTCTGACAAAATGTGGACTGTGCAAAGGGTCCTTAACCTGGGGCTAACCCTCCTTTGTACTGAGAGGGAAGCTGTAGCAGAAGAACAGGTGAAAAGGGGCTGGGAGAAATAGGAAGGGCTGGGCTGGAGCATCATGGCTGACTTTCCCTTCTCTACTTCTCTCCATTCTTCATTCCTGCCAGGCTCTGATGGAGGACAACCATTTCAGCAGCTTCACGGCAGGATTGGCTGCAATGCTTGCAGTTTATGACATCAGGTGAGCCTTTTCTTTCTTTTACCTGCTATTCCCTCGGGAAAAATGAACCCCAGGGCTGTCCACTAAGGTGGGCACTGATGTCTCTTATTTCCTTTGATCTCACAGCAAGGTTCCTCCAGCCATGGACCCCTACGTTGAGTCCCAGCTCCTGAACATCTTTGGGTCCATGTGGATGTCCTCCGTGAAAAACCGTGGGGAGAATATTGCAGAGGTACCACCTTCAGCAACATTTCTGGGAGTTCCTTTCTGATACTGGAACTTCTGGGAAAACCTTTCACACATCATCATCTCTGTCCTTCATTTCAGGAAGAGAAGAAGCTGCTGGAGGAGACCTTTGGCCTCCTGCTCCGAGGCCTTCTGCAACAAGCGGCGAAAACGGAGCATTTAATTTTTATTTTGAAGGTAAGGGCATCCATGTCCCAGGGAAGCTGGAAGGAAAATTGGGCCCTTGCAAACATCCACCGAATCAGGTGATAGAACTCCAGTGACATGTCCCACTTGAACAATCTAAATAGGGATAGTTCTTGAAGACGGGCATCAAAGAGCATGGGAATTTGGCTTTTCACAAGCGCTGTTTTCCAACATTCAGGGACCTCTTCTCAAAGAGGCCTCTTTAACTCTAATGCTGCATGGCCAGAATTACAGATAAGAGACAAAACGTGTCTATAGGATCCTTTGCTGGAAATGCCATCCCAACCTTCCACCTTCCAAAGAGGCTGAATTTAAGACATTGGGAGTAGCCATAGAGGGAGAGGGCCGCTTTAAAGGCCTGAAGAACGTACCCTAAATTACACAGGTGTGTTTGACCATGAGATTCCCGAGAATAGGAAGTTCTCAACAAAGGTAATTTTTTTGCTCCAACTCCACAGCACTTTGAGAAACACGGCTGGCAATGCTTCTCGTCTGCCTGGAATGAGCTACGCTGCTGTGGAACCCATAATAGTAGGATCAACGTATGTAGAAAAATGAAAACAAGATTGCAAATTTTGGGACCTCCACTGTTTTTGGGACCCCATCCTCATATCAACCTTCTCTCTTAGGAGAAAATGGCAGGGGGGCAAGGGGTTCTTTTGCCTTTCGTTCCACTTGATGGTGGACTAGGGAATCCCTGGACAGGGTGTTTTATAGCTGATGTTTGTATTGATGGGCCCAAGTGAACATGGGGAATGACTCAGCAAGACACTTTGGCAACAATATGATGGCCTTCTTTCTTTCTCTTCCAGCTCACTGAAGTCCAGCGGGCCTTTCCACACTTTCCAGTACAAATTGCGATGGCTGGATATGAGGACAGATTCATCAATGAAGGTAACTTTCTTTTGGAACATTAAGGGGTGTGTGTGTGTGTGTGTGTGTGTGAAGGTATCAGCACATGAAAGGAAGGACAACAGTTCCCCCCCCCCCACGCACCTGGTATCCCAAATGGGGGTTTAAGTACTCCTCAACTTTCAACTGATCATGTAACAATTATTCAACCTTAGGACACAGTGGGGAAAAAGGCACTTGTGACTCATTGTCAAAGCTACAACTGCCGCACCAACCCTGCAGTCCTGTGATCGCATTTTGGCACTTGGCAATCAGTCCACACTTAAGAGCAGTTGCAGTGTATTGCGCTTATGTGTGCATATTTTGCAAAGTTTGTTGTTGTTGTTGTTGCTTTCTGGGCAAAAAAAAAGATGAGAAAACTGATCTTTGGATAATCTGGATTTGGATTCATGACCACATTGTTTACTGTAGGACCACGTGATTCTCTTACCAACTATTATAAAAAGGATCGTAAAATTGGCCAAAATTCTGGACTCAATTATTGTCATAAGTCGAGGAGTACCCTTATCTGGTTTCCAGCAATGTAGCCAAGAGCTTAAATTTCAGCAAATCTGTATCCTTCAGGTGTTCTCATTGTGCTGATAGGCATGCGCTTCCCTTCCATTTGACACCTTCCTTCCTTCATTTGTCTCACCTTTTGTCCCCATGCAGGAGACCTAACAATAGAGGAGCTCTGATGTCTTCATCCCCTGCCGCCCTTGGACACTGAAGGGTGGATGGAAAGGAGCTCCACTCTATCTGAAGGAAAGTCCCTTCGTTTCTCCCATCTAGTATCAATTATTACACCCCATTGTTCTGGAAAAACCACAATACTTACATCAGAAGACAAGACCATGAAGGGCTGGAGAAAACAGGCTTTATTTGTACACAATGGTTCAGAGCATTCGCATGACAAATTCTGAACCTTGGGCTACTTCCAGGGAATAATTCTTATAGTATTAGCCTCCCATGCCTTAGCCTTAGGGTGGCTCTTATCTACCTTTGACACACTAAAACAGAGAAGTTTATATCTTAAAGCTACATAAGGGAAAAGGAGAAGTTCACACAAACGGTTGTCTTACCACACCTCTCTACACGGGTAATATCTTACACCATCTGTGACTTTCAGTTGACACTTCTTGTAAAATGGTTTCTACATAGCATGAACACCTCTTTACAATAATGACACACAGGTTATATTATTTTAGGTTACACTACACATCCAAGCTTAATATTATCTATTACTTAAAACAGCATCCAGCATTCCTATTAAGATATATATTTTTATGAACTTTTTCCTGACCACCTCACTATTGTTATATTTGCTCTGTTCTACTCTTCTGAACTTAAAATACAGTAAATTCTGAAATTTCTGCTTTCAGGTTCTTGGACCGCCTCATCCCTTCAAGAACGGATCTCTCAGCTACTGAAGGCCACCACTGATTTTGGAAGATCGCGAGGAGGCTACTCGTGTTGTGGAGCAGATACAAACTCTCATCTGTTTTTGTGTGCTGCAGCAGGTGGGTGATGTGGAGGGTTGGACTAAGGAATGGGTCACTTTCTGCAAATGTGGCCTTTTCCTCTCTCGAGTATAGGATTCAAGTGGTTTTTTGCAATGTGGTTTTTCCCTCTTCTTAGGATGTTGGGACAGCAATCAACGCGGCGCCTGGAACTCACCTATTTTCTTCGACTGTTGCCAACTGGGCTGTCCTCTCTCCAGGCTGGAGGAACCATGAAAGAGCCTGCGATTCCACAGGCCCCACTGACGGATGGACTAAGAGATTTCATAGGAAAGCGTCAGCCCTTCCAGCTAATGTTTCTGGCATCTATCTGATATATATATATCCCCATTTAGATGGCACCCATTTAAGAGAAACACGAGATAAAGAAAATAGAAATTCAGCAAAAAGGGCTACACAAACAGCATCTTGCAAGTCTTAAACTACAAACTTCCTACTACTACTTTTTGCTACTGGATCCATTAAGGCGGCTGCTTCCTACGTTTGTTTCTCCGACCTTTTCAGTTACTGGGGGCTCCTCCTGACACATCCCATTACCCTAATTTAGGTTACAATAGGATGTCCTTTTCCAGCACAACTTCTCATTTCAGACTGATATTCTTCTAATGCGCTTCTGTACAGTATGAGGAATGGGATGAGTCATGTACTTTTACTATTTTATCAAAATCTAATATGGTGAACTACAAGGAAAATGAAAATAATGGGAAAGGAAAGGAAGAAAAGAGAAAGAAAAAAGGGAAAAAGAGAAGAACAGAGAAGAAGAGAAAAGCATTGAGTTACATCTTCTTTTGGAGCAGTAGAATAAGCAATAAGTTACAACCTCAACTTTTTATGTCACAAAATAATATAGATAAGGTGCCAATGGGTGAAAGCAATCCATATATCAGAGCAAGCAAAGATTATTATTGATGGATTCTTAACTAACCCATGTCAAATCCAAAAGGGTGTGAGGCCAGGAAGCCCCTTATCTGCCCTGCTATTTTAATCAGGGTTGGAAGTTTTCATAAGGATATTAAGCAACATGAGGAAATCACAAGTATAAATCTTAAAAAGGAAGTTTATACATTCATTTGCTGATGAGTTATTTATCCAGAAAAAACACTATAGAATATTTGAGAAAGAAACTAAATGACTTTGGAGCTTTAGTCGCCTATAAAATAAATCAACAGAAAAGAACAATCTTAGTTAAGAATATGGTTTCTCAGGACTATGAAATACAAAATAAAAAGTCAGGTTTTAAGTTGGAGAAAAAGGTGGAATACCTGGTTTTACATGGACAACAAAATGCAGAATTGTTTCTAAATGATGTTGAGCCTTTTTGTCAAAAAATCTAATATGAAGAAGCAGAAAGAAAATAAAAATAATGGGAAAAGAAGGGAAGAAAAGAGAAAGAGGAAAAAGTGTAGGAAAAAGGGGGGAACCAAAGCGAGAAGAGAGGAGAGAAGAGGAGAGGAGAGAAGAGAAGAGAAGAGAAGAGAAGAGAAGAGAAGAGAAGAGAAGAGAAGAGAAGCACTGAATTACAACTTCTTTTGAGCAGTAGAATAAGCAACAACATACAACCTCAACTTTTTATTTCACAAAATAATATATACTAGGGGCCAAAACAGTTTATAAAATGGGTCAAAGCAATTCATTCATCAGAGCAAGCAAAGATTATTATTGATGGATTCTTAACTAAGTCATGTCAAATCCAAAAGGTTGCGAGGCCAGGAAGCCCCTTATCTGCCCTGCTGTTTAAATCGGTGTTGGAAGTTTTCAATAAGGATATTAGGCAAGATGAAAACTTTACAAGTATAAATCTTAGAAAGGAAGATTACAAACTGACAGCATTTGCTGATGAGTTATTTATTCAGAAAAAAACACTATACAATATTTCATAAAGAAACTAAATGACTTTTGAGCTTTAATCGCCTATAAAATAAATAAACAGAAAACAACCATGTTTGTTAAGAATATGGATTCTCAGGACTATGAAATACTAAATAAAAAGTCAGGTTTTAAGTTGGAGAAAAAGCTGGAATACCTGGATTTACATAGACAACAAAATTCTGAACTTTTTCAAAATAACTTTCAGACTTTTTGTCACAAAAGTAAAAAAGACTTATTAGGATGAGATAAATTGCAAATAACTTATTGATGTGATGACCCAGGGCCCCGCACGAAGGCAAAGCAGTCGGCTTGCAAGAGAAAAAGTCCTTTAATAACTGCCAATGTTCCCCAAAAGCTCCCACATATGCTGGCAAGCCTTCAGCCAAAGCACACATGCAACTTCCTTTCACCTGCCTCTGGATGAAGGCAATTTCAATACAGCTGGAGAAGTATACAATGTCCTCAAGGCCAGACAGATAACAAGAAAACAAAACAGAAACTTAATGAGTCCTTTGAAATCTCAGCTTGCCTGCAGTCTGCAAGGAGAGACTCAGAATGCAGTCTGTGGTCATCAAGCAGGAAAACAGCTGGTCCGGTACTCAAGGTGTCCAGGTTAAACAAAGACAAGAGCACAATTCACAACTGTCCCAAGATACCACGTTTGTTCCCGGCAAATGCCCCACTCCACAGCATCTCCTTAAATCTTCATCCCCAGGCGTGCCTTGTGGAGTGGGGCAGGCCGCTCTCCTCCCGAGCAATTGTTCCTCCATACTTTGTTCTCTCCTCCTCTCTGCTCTCCTTGCTCTAGGATCAGGTGGGGGGAGAGCTTGCTCCATGCCTGAACTCTGCCTCCCCTGTCCAAACCTGAAGGGCCCTGGCCTGCCTCAGCCTGCTCCTCCCCATGGTCCTCCGAAGCCACAGACATCTCCTCCTGCACCTCAAGAGGGTCCTGCTCCCCCTGGGATTCAAGCTGGGATGGAGGCATGACAATTAGGTAGAATCTCTGTAATTAAGATGAATGTCCTACCAAAGATGCTTTTTGTGTTTCAGACTCTTTTACTGTCCCTGATGCTCCATTTAAACAATGTCAGACAGACATCTCAAAGGTTTATATGGCAAGGGGGAAAAAACCAAGAATTAGGTATCAATTATTGCAAAATGCTAACCAAAGAGGAGGTTTGGGGTTACCAGCTTTGAAATTGTATGTTGCTGCCTGTTATTTGGTCTGGCTAAAAGAGCGGGTGACTCTCTAAAATAAGAGGAGAGTTGAGCTGTAGGGCCATGAATTAAGATTTGGGCAGTACGCCAATTTATGCCACGAAAAGGTTGAAGGAAATGTTGATTTCAACAACCACTTTGTTAGACGTGCCATCCTAAGAGTTTGAAATAAATATCAAATAAGGTTCTCTGCAAACATACCCCTTTGGTGTCGTCCCACGAAGCTTTGTGTTGTTTTCTGGAAAAGAATTGGTGGTGAGGCTAGACCAGTGGACTTTTGGTCAAATAATATTTTTCAGTTATGGTAACCCCAACCTCAAATCTAAAGAAGAGTTGGAATTAGAAGGAGCTGTTGGCCATTGATTTACATATTTACAGTTGAAGGAAATAATTAGATTTTTAAAAATCTATCGATTTGATTTTGTAAAAGATGAATTGCAAATTTTGTTGTATAGTAGTGATTAACTTATTATTGCGAAGGTTTATAAATTGCTCTTGAATTTGTAAAGCACTGTATGATTCAGTGGGCAAAGAATCTTGGATATAAGTAAATGCTTCAACAATGGGAACACTTATGGACAAAAGTTTTAAAATTTAAATTATAGCATAAAAGAAAATTTTTACAAGATGATATACTATTGGTAACTAACACGGGACAAATGGTCAAGAATGTGTAATGGCGTTCAAATGAATTTTGGAAATGTAAATATAAAGAAGGAACATTTTACCATTTGTGGTGGACATGATACAAAGAAAAGAAGTGTTGTAGGATTCATTTCTTAATATAGAAGATTCTTAAAGTGAATATCAAGAGAAATTCAGAGACTTTTCTCTCAGGCTGAACAGATAAAGAACTTGAAAGAAATGGAACACTGATGTTATGTATGCTGACAGAAGAAGAATAATTCCACAAAAATGGAAGGATACTTTGATTTCCACAGTGGACAAATGGCTGCAAAACGTTGATGGAGTTAAGAAAGACACTAAATGGACTGCTTTAATTAAAGAAAAGAACACAATTTTAATTCTATTGGAAACCTCTTTTGGACTTGTGCTTTGTGCTTTGATGGACTTTGTAATAGCTGAAATATATTTTTGTTGTATTCTTCCACCAGCTAACTAACATGGGATTTTTTTGTATTGTAAATTTGCTTTTTCCAAAGTATGACTCATAAGTTCCCATAAGCCTTCACTTTCAGAAAAATGCCTCCCTTTCAGAGACCGGGACTGGCAGGAGAGCTTTCCATGCACTGCAGACCACAGTCTCCCTTTCAGCTGTTCTGAAGCCTCTGTGATCAAAGCAAAGATTCAAGCTCAACCTTGGGAAGAGCTGAGAATGTTTTTTAACCAGACAAATTTAGAGGTTTTCCCTTTGCAAATGTTTCTTTTACTGAGCATGCAAAGCTCTTTTCTATGGCTGTGCTCACATATTATTGGATGCTCTAATTTCTGTTATTTTAACTGGACACATGACTTTCTAAAGCAATCAAAGTTTGCTTTGAAGTTCTTTGTTTTGCTAATATAAAAGTCCATGTAAACCATTTTAGTGACGTTCCCCCTTTTCATAGGGAGCCCCCACTTGATCAAACTACCTTATAAAATGCTTTTAAATCATTTTCTGACTTGTTTGTTTATTGGAAAAGCATGTAGAACGAGGCAGAACCTCTAGAGCCAGATTTGGCCAACAGGTTGAGGTGGGGAAAAAAATGTAACTTTGAATTTGGGTTTTGCTGTTAGATAGTTTGTTGTTGTTTTAGCAGATATTATTATGTAAAAGAAAAAGTACATCCAGAACCTGTCTATCCTAGAATAACAGGCTTGGAAGGGCCCTTGGAGGTCTTCTAGTCCAGTCCTCTGCCTGAGCAGAAGGCTTGCAAACATGATCCAGCTGAGCTCTCTGAGGTTTCCTCCTGGGGAATGAGCTTGGAAAGAGGGGAAAGAGATGCTTCTAGACACCCCAACCGGCAACCGGATCACCGGGAAGCAGTGAAGAATGAAGAATGGTGGCCCAACAGAGGTTCTTCTCTCCTGCACCCGATTGTCACCAGATGTCTTCAGACAGAGGGAAGCGGAGAGAAGCAACTGCCTTCTTCATCCAGATGAGCTCAAGAGGGACGTTTTCTCCAGATTCTTCCTTCCTTGCAATAGGAAGACCCCCCCGCCCCCATCCTCCAGCATCCTCCAGCTCTCCACCCTCGGGGTTCTTCGACATACAACAGTTTGTTTAGGGACCGCTTGAAGTTACAAGGTCACTGAAAAGAGTGGCTTCTGACCACTTTTCACCCTTAGGACCATTAGAGAATCTTCATGGTCAGGTGATCCAAATTCAGACACTGGACAACTGGCTCCTATTTATGACAGTTGCTCTGTCCCAGAGTCACGTGATCATCTTTTGCAACTGTCCCAGCTGGCTTCTGAGAGAGCAAAATCAAGGGGGGAAGCCAGAGTTGCCTAAAAAGCACACGATTCACTTAACAGCTTCTGACTCACTGAACAACCACAGCAAACAGGGCATGAAATGGGGCATGACACATTTAACAACTGCCTTGTGCTCTGTTGTCGTAAATAGACAACTACGTTTAAAGCCAATTTTTATATAGAAAAGTTTGTACCTAGCTATCTGGAAAAAGCCGTCCGTGTGTCATTAACACAATATGAATTCTTTGCAGACAGTTCTCAACTTATAATTGCTCACTTAGCAACCATTCAAAGGTACAACGGAGCCCGGAGCCACCCATGACCGAAATTCAAGATTCTTTGCAGCTTCCCATGGTCACATTATAGAGATTAAGAACATTTATGTTGGGGGGAAAAAGGGAAGGGAAGGGAAGGGAGGGAAGGAAAAGGAAAGGAAAGGAAAGGAAAGGAAAGGAAAGGAAAGGAAAGGAAAGGAAAGGAAAGGAAAGGAAAGCCTATTTTTCTAGACTCACTTTGATTCAACTGAACATATGTTCAACCACACAACAACATCCTGTGATGAAAGAAACTGAGTGGAAAACCAATACTTCTGGCTTGAACTCATCACTTTTAACCTTGGTTTGGTTTTACATTACTGGACATGTTCCACAGGAACCTGAATTTATCAAATTTCAAAAGTTTTTCCTAATTCAGAGGTTAAGGATGCTAAGCGATCCTCATCAATTCGAAAGTAATCAGTCTACACTTTTAGCAGGTATGAAAGGTAAAACTGCTCTAGAACACTTTTGCCCCTTATTTACTTTTCCTGAGAGGACAACAAATGACATTCCCACATCTGGAATCTCCCAATCTTCTGAGAAGATGGGTACAATAGGTAAGGGCCCAGCAGCCCTTCTGAAGACTACTCACATATCGGCAGCCATCTTCACTCAGATCACTGAGAGCTGACAGTAACTGACAGTTGAGATGGACAGATGACATCATCAAACCAGTAGAATCCCCAAGGAGATGATTATGACAAGCCTCCTTTGGGATCCTATCAAAGATCACCTTCTCCACCATTTCTACACACACCAATGCCAGACCAAGGTCTCTAGGAAACTACCAACAAATCACTAAAGCTGCTTATTTCTCATCTTTTGCCACAGAAGGAATGGCTCTTTGGTTGTAGACTGCCTTTTCATATGGAAGCTCCACTCAGCTAGATGACTGAGCAAGAGTCACTGATACAGTTGTTGGTCCTATTCTCTGCGTATTGCCATGCTATGTGTTATTTTATTTGTCCCAATATATATAAGGCAGAAGTGTGCAGCTGCAGCCAAATATGCCAACTCAGTCTGAGGTTGCCTTAAGAGAGGGACAGAATCAAGATCCTATGAAGTATTAGTACCACTTTATAAGGCCTGAGTAATATCACACTTAAAATACTGCATCCAGTTTTGGTCACCGTATTGTAGGAAAGAGAGCAGAAAAGAGCAATAAAGATGATTAGGGGACTGGATACTAAAACACATGAAGAACTCCTGACAAGGAGTCTTGTAAATCTGGCCTCCTTAGTTAACACAGCAATGAGAGCATTGAAACAAGAAAGCTTCAGTGAGTTTTGTGACAGATATTAATGAACATGTGGCAAAATATGTAAGCATACAAAAAAGACAGAGAACTAAATATTATCCATTTTAATTCATTCACTTTCACACTTTGGCAGTTGAGGAAAGTGCTAATATTTTTCTGATACTTGATAATTTACATTAAATATAGGCATAGCATTGATTTCGATTACGAATTGTCATTTGGTAGGAATCTTTAATTAGATATAGGGTCTCCTGCTTCAACACAGGGTTGGACTAGAACAGGGCTTTGCAACCAGTGGTACGGGTACCACCTTGGTACATTGGCACTTGGCAGGTGGTACGCAACCATCCTAGAAAAGTGATAGCGGGGGAGAGGAATGAGCTGAACCAGTGGCAGCACCGCACAAGCCTGAGTGAGAGATGGCTTGAGCTGCAGGGCTGTCAGGGCCCAGCAGAAGCACCAGGATCAGCGCTTCTTCGGGGCTGTCAGGGCTCAGCGGAAGCGCCAGGATCAGTGCCAGGCTCCAGCTGGAGCTCGGCGTTGATCCTGGAGCATCTGCTGAGCCCAGAAG